GCTTGGAGCCCGTGTTGCAACCTGAGGCAAAACATGTTTCACACACACACATGTGAAGCATACTAGCAGCTTCAGGCCGTGCCTGAGGAACCACCGCTTGAGCACCAGCCTTTCCATGGAATTTTTGTGGCATCTCGCTGCCAAGCCTCATGTTATGTACGCATGCTGCTCACACATGAACTGTTGCACCAATTATGCGTGCTCACACGATGATGCAAGTAAGAGACTGGTCAGCTTTCCGATCATATCTTCCTGCTTAAAGCCATGAAAGTGGCGCGAATTCAGGCCTCAGACACTATACTCATGATCAATATTCATCATCAACATGTTGTCCAGCGCGTGTTGAATTTCAAGGCACGGTTTTCCAGCTGATATCGCGCCAATTCACGAAAGCCCTTGGATGCCAGGCATATCAGCGCAACAAGGTTTCTATATTATTCGAAGGCGAGGCACATGGAGCTTTGGCTTTGCCGGCCAAAGGTGTTCTTCTCGTTGCACCGCTCGCGCAGCAAGGGAAGCATAAGCGGTGAGGCACTCGTCCTGGGAGTAGATAACAATATGTTTATGTCAAATTTGTACATGCATGTGATATTGCAATCAAGATGCACAGTGTGCCCAGAGACTCCGCGCTTCATCCCGGCTTAGGAAGCGTCCGCAGTCTTCCACTAGGTTGAACCAAGCGCCCAAATGCCACCTCGGTTGTCGACATGCGCGATAATATTCTTGCATGCATACGCGCGCCAAGAAGCGAGCACTTTGCAATCAACTCCAGCTCTTCAAATTTGTCACCATCAGTGCGAGCATTGCCACCTTGAAGCATTTGCACACAAAACTCCGCCAGCCACGCGGTCACCACTCTCGCCTCACAAGAATCGAATACTATAATTGCACAAAACTGGCAACTGCAACCTTGCAACCATGACCAAGGCGCATTATAGGCTTTTGCGGCTAGTTCCGGGTACACAGACCCTTGCGGATACACCAGCTTGAAGCAAGCCTGGGAGTGCCTTGGTTTACAAATTTCGGTATCATGCTTGCATTTCATGCGGCATGCATGCATAACCCAGAACCGCTTTGCTCAACTATACCAAGTCGCTGGATCCGGTGGGCCTTCGCCCATGCAGAAAAGTCAATGAATGCCCTGCCTAGCTGAGTTTCTGCACCATTGAGGCTCGCTGCCCAAATGTTCCAGCCAGTGAAGGTTTTCAGGGCGCTTCCAGAAACCCAAGCGCACACCCCAAGGTTGAGCGTGTGCATTGAACACCACATGATCCATTGCGCATTGAATCCACGAAGGTTTGTCAAGGCACCTGAGCGAGTCAAACATCAGGATCTATAGCTGGCCTGGTCAAATGGCATGCTTGCAATATTATAAATCATGCATATAAGCTGCGAGGGCACTGAAAGGCGCCTTAAGAATGTCTCCCAAATTCTCAGGATCACGGGCGGGGAGAAGGGGTAGCAAGACTTGGTCCTTGCTCGCCACACACGTGTGGCATACATAGGTGGAGCTGTACCCCACTTTCATGTTGAGCCACTCCTTGCAGTTGGCCAACAAAAAGTTCAGACATGCAGAGATTAAATTGCAAGTCAAATTGCATGTAAAGCATACAGCCAAGAAGCCCGTTGCCACTTCCAGTCCCCTCGAATTTGGACTGCAGCTGCATATGCCAAGTCGCCCTCCCACCACCCTTTGCTCGCTGCATCGCCGCCCCACTCATCGGCAACTTTTGACAGTGGCACCCCCGTGTGGAGCTTGTTCAGTGATTCCACCACCTTAGTACGATCGGTCGATGCTGTTCGATTCAAGGACCAGTTAACTTGCTCTAGCTTCGGTCAACCAATGCAAGTGCAGTCGAGGGGCTGGGTCAAGGATTGCTTGAAGGGTTGGAAAGCCCAGTGACAAGTCCTTAGCTAGGCGAGGAGCTGCAATTTATTCTTTGATATGTTGCAATGCATACGCAAATCGTTGTTTTGACAAACTTTGTACCAAAGGTCACAGCGAACAATTGCCAGCGGCCAGCATGCATTGAATGAATCTTTCCTTTCATCCATGATGGCACCCATAGTGATGCACATGATCTTGTCCCCCCCGGTCTCCAAATATACTGCATCATCACCCCACAAATAAAGCGGGATATGGCGCGGGGTGGCAGTCACCGAGGACCAAGATCCATTATGCTCCCAAAATTCTCGATTGGCAGGCTCATCGGTTGATAGGAGGTCGTGATACATCAGCCACGGGATTAACACATGAGGCAAAATCACTGGCATCTGCCTAGATCAGGATTCCGAGATTTAAGTGTACATGTATGTGTGGTCGATCGATAGTCGATCGGTCGATGGTCGATCGATCGATGCATGCCGGCTGGCCTCATGACAACTCCTGCGCGGTGCCGATCAGGACGGGTGGGAACCGGGATCAAGCTGATTGGCACCTGCAGTTAACAACGTTTAATAATCGAGAGTGTGCACACTAGTTATAGCTAGAATTGCGTCAAGCTGCACTATGCCTGGTTCCGAGCTTGGAAAGCATGTCACGCTGAATGTTGCTTGTCCACTTCCCATATCCTCCTGCCGCTCGAAGTCGCTGGCATGGCCCTTGAAGCTTATGCCCCTGCCACTCAAACTCCTGCCATGCTGCATGCAGAGTTCACGCATATATATGATCGAACATAATACATGTGTTGCAAATCACACTCCTTTGACACAGCCCGGAGAGCCTCCCTTGCACCCTTGAACGATGCCTCCTAAGCTCATCACATAAAATCAATGCACAAATGTAAGTGCAAGCCAAGTAGCCCCCCGACCTGCTCTTTCAATCAAATATCGAAGAAACGGGGAGGTTGTTGTTGAGGCAGTTCCACGCACAGCACCTGCGAGGGCAAGGAGTAAGCGCAGACAAGTATTGTTTTACAGTTGCATGCATGCGTGTAGGCTTGCATCAACGTGTTGCGCAAATGTACACACACGCACACTCATCAGACTTTTCTTCAAAGCCCGCGTGTCGTAGTATTGGTTGCAGCATTTGCACACCACAATGAGCTAGCAGTGACGTCAGACGTGTGCACAGTCTAAGATCTTGCCCCCGGGGCAATCATAGCATGTATGAGTGGCTATAGCACATTATTATCGGAGTTCAAGCTCACATTGATGTGAATTCAAACTGTTTCACATTTCACATTGACCATCATGAGGGTGCCCCAGGATACCTTGTTTGTGCAACATCTGGGCTACTCACTGCACCCTTCCCTAAATGGCATGCAAACGCCGCTCAAAATCTAATCTTCTCACGGTCAGGCTTTCAGCTCCTCTTCTTGGCAGCCGTTTTTTTGGCTGCAGGCTTGATGCCCTCAGAGAAACATGAACATGCTGACATGTACATTCATGAACAAATTGCATGCACTACATCATGATCGATCCATCGATGACTAAATCATACTGCGCACCAAGGGGCTTCAATAGCTGGGCGAAGGTTCTTCAAGAACCCTGAGTAATCTGCCAAAGCGCTATCCGCCTGCCCCAGAAGCTTGTTGAACTCCTGCATTTGCTGATCACCAAGTTCTTCGTCCCGAATCCTGCTGTTCGTTGCGTACCAAATGTCCAAGGCCTCCCTCCCGGTGCTCAGGGCCAACTTCCTTTTCGAGAGTTCCTCACCGTAGCCCTTCTTCATGGCTTCAGTCCTTATTTCAATGATTCAATTAATTGCAATTTGGTGAAACTGACATGTTATTGAATTCAGCCCAAAGTCAGGCTTGACTCCACCAACTTTGTCTCCCAGCACACTGCATCTGTGTACTTTCCAGAGACCGCAGTGATTTTGCTGGATATGGTCTTGGCATACGTGAAGGGGTTCTTCTTGCCACCAGCCTTTGCCTTGGGCACCGGAGGATCTGCAGGGAGCGCTGCCGCAGCACCGCTCTCGCGCTGCCCGAAGGCCGGCAGGGCTGCTTTTTGAGCTCGCCCCATGCGATCATGATGAGCCCTTAGCTGGTTTAAAGGTTTCAAACTCCATGATCAATACGTATATATGCTAACCTCCCAATTGCTTAATTTATGCATCGCAATAATTGTTAGCACGACTGAAGACGAGCTCCTAAACTTGTTGCATCAAAGAAGCTGCATCAAATCCCTTGTTTGAGATTCGCTGCAAGTGGCCTCGGCCGAGTGCACCCGCTCCATGGCTTCAGTGTGAGACTCCTCAAACTCCGTGCTGTCCCACACTCTGAGCAGCATGTAGTCCTTGCAGGGATGGATCACGAGGTTGTATTAAATATTATATTAGATATGGCTAGCATGCTTGTTGGTCGTCCTGCTCATCCGGCAAGTCAGGGTGCGGCTGAATCCAGGCCGGTTCATTCGGAGCACGCTGCCGATCCTGCTCCTGCTTTCTCTGAAGCAGCTTTTCAGCGACTCCTTTGCCATGAAGATCCCGAAGTGCCTTGAAGGTCTTCATCGCCCACCGGCCCCGTCGTGTCGAGCAGTCCGTTGACGAGGCATTGCAAACCAATGAGCTTTTGCCCCAGTCCTGCCCCGATGACAACCAGTCCTCATACAACTTGTCCAGGACAGGCTTGTCTCAGTGACCGAGGTATCATGCGGTGTAATTAATGACAAAATCAACGGATCCGCAATACATGAATGTTTGCCACCAAGTAGCTGTGCTTACTGCCAACTGCAGCTTTCTGCACACACTCCGGGAGTTCTCGGCCTAAACCACTCACAGCAATATGTAATTACATGACATGATCAGTGAAACATTGCAAACATAATTTGCATCCTAGATGCTCTTCAGGGATCGGGAGAACCTCATGTAGGTATTATGGGCCAATCTGGCCTGCCGCTGGTCCAGGCTCTCAAGGCGACCATTGGGGGCCCTATACCGTGGTACTCCATTTTCATCAACCTCATCTGCCTCCTCAGCCTAGGATGTAGCAGGAAATGAGTGCTGCATATGTTACACGTCAGCTTATCAACAATTGCAACTATTGATCATGTGATCAAGAGGCCTCCAACTGAGAAGTGTCCTTCCTCATGAACACCATCTTCGCAGCTTTTGTTGCAACCAAAGCCATCTCCACATCTTCTTTGACCCTCACATCCTCCTTGGCCACAGGCTCCTCGAGCTTTGCATCGGCGCGCGGCGGGCTGGCTTGGATCAGCTGAGGCGGGTCCTTGGAGCGCGGGGAGAGGGCTAGCACGTATAAGCACATTAACATAAATCATGCATGCATAAACATGACGACCATAGCGATGTAGCCAGGGAACTGCTGCAGTTGCAGACGACTTTGAGGGCCCGGGAAACAGAACCTTTGGGGAGAGTTCACCGCTACCCATCCCATCGGCAGGAATTTGCACGTTCTTCGCTGCCTCCTCCATCAAATTCATGAGATCTTTTTCCTCCTCACCCCAAGTAGCAGCCCCAGAAGCTTTGCAGTCATCAGGGAGCATCATGACGGGGCCATTCTCAGACTGCACTGTGGTAACCAGCTTCTCAAGCAGGGTCCTGAAGAGGTTGGAGGCATGGTCCAATTCAGTTTCACGTGGAGCCACTGAGCTTGAGCGAAGCGCGTTTTCCATTCGGCTCATCCACTGATCGGCTGCCTGCTTGCGAGCCTGAAACTTGTACGGGTTGTCGGTCAGGGCGGTGTTGCGCAACATCTTGTCCACCGTGTTCTGGTGGGCCAACATTCTGCAACCGCATTCTGCTTTGGCCTCCCTCACCTTTTCGTCCAGTTCACAGACCTTGGCTCTGCTTTCCCGAACTTCCTTGGCAATCACTCGGATGACCTCGTTGCCCTCAACTGCAAACCCATCCATGGCATGGTAGCTGACCCATCGCGCAGCAAGGCCTGACAAAAGGTCAGGGTCAGGCTTCGTTGAAGTCAACAGCATGGATGACATGTAGCTCCACAAGGGCTGTTGAAGATCGGCATCACCGTCATCCATGTAGGAGCCCACATCTCCAAGCAGCAGGGTTGTCGCCGAGTCCATGTGCAAATAGGAACCTAGCAGCAGATTATTTTCCCGCTAGTTTATCGGTATCAAATTCATACACGAATCCAAAATTAGTTGACAGGCCTTGGTCCTTCAACTCATTGGATTTATTGAGCTCCGGCTTCTTTTCCTCATCGAGCCCTGGCTTGTTTTCCGACGAATTCTCCTCGATCACATCCGTTGTGACTTCAACTTAGCTTCGATACACATTGATGTGAAAAGTCAGGTTTTTCGATATCGGATCGATGCATGCATCACTCATGGAACAATAACTCCTTGCTGCAGGCCAGATGCTCGGCTTCGATGGCTGGGCAGCTTCTGGGCATGGCTGCTCATGATCAGCCGGGGGCCTTGGTGCTCTGGGCGGGGTTGAAGGTGGCCTGGGTGTGTCGAGCTTCTCCAAATCCATCGGCGCCACATTCACCTCAGCTGGACGCTTCTGCAAACATGCTGATTAATTCGAGCTGTGATCAAGTAAATTTCAACTAGTTAAAATATGCAAGGGGCATCAATTTCTGGCTCTGCCTGATCTATCACGGTATCCGTGTCCAGGGGCACCTGCTGGGTTCCCTCATCATGATCCGGGGACTCCTGCCGGACCTTTCCCTTCTTCAACGCAGGGCTCTTGATCGGTGTTGAGGCTGCCGATGTTGAAGGCATTTCAACTGCTTGAGGGGCTTCCTGTGTTGAGGGCCTTGATGATGAGGCATTCGCAGGCGTAGCTGGCCCCCGCTTTGCATAGTCAGTGATTGAAGCACCTTAACACGTGACATCCACTCTCAAATCAAACGAACTTGCACGCACGTGTCAGCCAATGTCACAAGTTGCCTGGCAAACTTGATAGTCAAGCATCCGCTCATCTTCTTGTTCACCCTTTGCCGCACGAGGGCAAGCTCCTTGCTCTCATCAAAGCCAGGTTTCCCTTCCATTTGGCTAGGCTGAGAGCTCTCAACCTAGGCTGAAAGAAATCCAGAATGTATAGCTATGAAGCAATGCACAGTTCACGCCAGGAAGCAGCCTTCGAGCGAACAGTGCGGCCCATTGCGCAGGCCAGCTGGGGGGGGGTCTGGGGTTTCACGCAGTTTCACGCGGATTTCACGCCTGGCACTAGCTATTCACGGAGTTTCACGCAATTTCACGCAAATTTCACGCACACCTATTCCAGTGCTTAATGCCCAGTACTGCAAAATAAGCCAAAATGCTCCATAAATGGACCAGTCCAATAAGTCGCATGTTGCAACCTGCCTGTCAACTATATCGCATGCATGTCCAATATTGCATGTGGCAAATCTTGCCCAATTGCTCCCTTTTCCTTGCTTGGGTCGCTGCATGCCACTCACCGCATCATGTTAAGATGCTCGCTCTCATGGGGTTGAGGCCACTCGAGACCCACATGCACATGTCCAATTTCATGAAGGTCCAATTGCCTCAATTGATGGATCCTTTGAATTGGACCTCTAGCGGCATGATCATGATATCATCATGGCGGCATCACCCCATGCCCGAAAGCGAGGCCCAGGCAGGTCGCCCAAAAGCGAGGCCCAGCAGGCAGGTTGCCCAAAAGCTAAGCGAGGCCCAGCAGGCAGGTTGCCCAAAAGCGAGGCCCACAACCTAATCGCATGTAATCGCCATGCATGTGCCCTCATGATGACAGCATCCACATCGAATGATATCATGATATTCTGCAAATTCTGGTGATCAGGAGACATTTAAGTGGTTGTACTGTTGAAACTTGACTTACCTCCCCCACCAATCGGGCACATGCGACCCTAACAGCGGATCCCTAGCTCCACTTCAGCACGCCTGTACACCTCCTTTGCCACTTCAAAGATGTGCTTGGAGGGCCTGATCTGCACCGGGATCGCCGGGTCCGCCCTGAATTCGCCACAGCTCACCGCCTGCTGAATCCTCTCCAGGAGCGGCTCTAGCTCGGCACAGTCCCAATCGATGCCCGGCTCCTGGTTGTGGTCGTGGGCAGGGGGGATGGGGAAGCGTGTGCAAGCAAAGTAGGTTTGTACTGCAATTGCCAAGCCTGGTACTCGAGCAAGTGGATCGGGGGAAGGTCTTCGGGCTGCATGTACGCCTCAATTGATATATTATATGCATGTATATATATATATATCGCATGCTGGCCAAACCAATATAATCCATGAAACTATGCTCGATCAACTTTCATCCAAGAAACCATGAAGTCCGTGTGGAGCTCCGCCACCCGCTCCCCGAAAGATGCGGGATACGCACCGCTCTCCTTCAAGTTCTTGCCACCACTCCTCAGCTGGATTTGCAACAATCACATGCACGTGTCTGATTGAATGCGATGCTCCTGCAAATCTACGCTGTTTCAATTAATATATTGCAACGAGCTACACAACCCTGCGCGTTGTGCCATCCTTCGACTTTGTCATGCTGACTTTCACCATCTCCTTCTTCGCGAAGCTTTTGCGCTGCCTGATCAGCTCCCTGATGCCCTTGCCAAGCGGTTTGTGCAGGGCGTGAATCCAGGGCCTCAGGGTAGTCAAGCGTGGCCGTATCATGTACATTAATATACTGGCCCATGACATCGAAAAGAAATCTTGAAATTTCAATTTATTGTGTTCATATGCCCAGTGGCGCGTTCGAGATGCCCATCTGCGGCTTCAAGCTCCACCCCCCGTAGGTGCCCATGTTCCTTGGTGTGTACATGTACGTACATGAAATTTTCCATGATCTAGCTATGATCGATTAAATAAAACATCAACGACGTCCTTTAATTCAAAACTCTAAGTGCCTGTCCAGTCCGTCAACTGCATGCGCATCAAGGGGTTCCGTAGCAGGGCCTGAAGGTGTGGCCACCACTTTAGGGTCGAAGACCTCGGCTGCTCGATGAAGAAGTACACCGACCGGGCGATGCACACCAGGATGAGCAGCATCGACCGAGCGAGCAGCAGGTTCCCAAGCCGCACCCCCGGCCGGTCGACCCGGCCCATGGGGTTGTCCATCGTCCTCTGGTGGTAGGAGCTGGCCAGAAACGTGAAGGAGCTGCAGGGAACACCCAACCACGCCAGTCCGCCGCTCCGAACCCTCGTGCACAGCTGCACCGCCCGGAGGAACCCGCTGGTGCACCCCAAGTCCTCCACAACCTCCTCCCGCCCGATGTCAAAGCCCTGCCTAAGATCGATTCCAATATGCGCCTGCCTCGTCGCATGTCAAACCATGGCCATATGCATTTTAAATTAAACATCTAGACAAGGCACGCCGGGGTCCCATACACACCTTCGAAGGTGTTCAAAGTTGCAAGCTGCTTTGATCAATATATGCAATTTCAATTTAAGATCATGAGCTGGGGTCCGGACGGAATCCCTTGCAGATCGACTCCACTCCAGAGAAGAACTCTGCGCACCACAGGTCCTTAGCAGGGAAGGGTCGCATGGCACTAGCGTGTAGCGTGTATTAACAAACATTAAAAAGGGGCATGCAATTGTACATATAAGCAAAGCGAGACCAACTCGATCAAAGCTTCTCGCATGTTGGTGCGCTCAGGCCGGAACACCTGGAATGTGAAGTCCAGAACGTGCACCCTTAGCGCTAGTTGCAATCGATCGGTGTACGATCAAATGATATCATGCATGCAACCATCAACGCGCACACAAAAAAATAAGTGAAGCCACGGCACAGCAGCGGCGGCGCTCCCAAAGCCAGCAAAGTCAAAACTTGCAGCCGGCTCAACGCCAAAATGTTTCGCTTTGGCAAGGTTTCCCCTCGAAAAAGGGGTGTGCCCGGGTCGCGTGAGGCAGGCTTCGCGCGGGCGTTCAGCATACTCATGAGGCTCTGCGCATGCATGGCATTCGCTATCAGATCTAAATGTCACAATCTCGGGCCGCAAATTGCGCATGCAATCAGAATTCAAACTCATGCTCATGAATCAGAATTCAAACTCATGCTGCAACGCCGATCGACTCGCTGGCATGCAATTCCATCATATCCATATATATATATACGAGTTACATGCAAATTGTACACATGTATACGTACTCATGCGCATGCAAAACTGGGAGGGGGTTGGCACCTTCTGCGCAAAGCCCAGGCTTGGAGTTCGAGGTCGATCCCCCTGGCACGTGCGCGTTAGCCCGGAGCAACATGTGCATGTGCAGTCGGGCTCATGCCACTCGCCAGCGCAAATGATATCTGTTTTTTCTCATCATGATGGCATTCGCTCAATCCACTCGAAGATTCTCGTTCTGACGTGTGGCCAGTACCGACTCATGTGCACGTGCACTGACTAGCTAGCTATGGGTTCTGGCATGCTGGGCCCAAATTTCTGACATCAATGATCCGGATTTTCAAGTTTAAATTCATGATCTGCAAGCGTTCCGTGCACCCAACATATGGCCCCCTGCATGCTAGCACCAATAGGTATGACCCCCGTTGCAATCAAGACATGCACTCACCAAGGCGGGTAGGTGCTTTAAATTTCAACTCCAAGTGGATGATGATCAGTTGACCCCGGAATTGCAATTCGAACATGTACATTAATTTGAGAGTCAGTTATTGAGTTGCAGTTGCAAATTGCAATATTGTAATGTTGGTCCACATTGGGATTGCACTGTCTTGCTTGGCACCCTAGATTGCGCATGTGTACACGAAATGCATCATCTGCTCAATCAATATCATTTGCTTCATCAGCCACCTGCAGGGCAAAGTGCATGTGTAGCTTTAACCAGGGCTGATGCATACGCATTTCTTCCCTAAATTAAGTGCGGATGAGAAACTTCCTCAAACGACTTGCTCAGGTTCTTGATCGCAGGGTCCAGCGGGGTATTCCAGCCAGCACATTCTTTGGCGCAATCCCACCTTAGTCAAACCACGTGTGCAAGTGCAAAACTGAATGTTCTGGCCGTAACGTTGGTCGATGTGTCATGCATGCAGTCAGGGCACGCTTCCGGGATACTGTCAAACCAGGCCCAGCTGATTGTGCAGCCGCCCTTTTTGTCAGGCTCCTCATGATCACAGTACATGAATGTTCGCATTCAAATCCTGTGAACATGGTGATTGAACAATTGCAGCCGTGGGCAAAGTGTGTCTCCTCGATTGTGTCGTTGGGCTTCATCAACTTGCTAATGTAAAAGCTCTGCGAGCTAAGAACCACCCCGATTGATGATCTCTTCTCATCAGATTTGGCACCAGAGTGCACAGTGAAGCTCCTTAGCTTACGGTAAAACACATTGCCAGCCAATGTTTGACAACAAGATGTTTGACGCCCCTAGGTGGCCGGCGGTTAAATTGCAAGTGAATTCTTCGACTTCTATCATCAATGCATGCGTGCCCCAAAAATCGATTCGGTTTTTAGAGCTTTTGAATTTCTGTGATCAACAGCTAGCGCTGAGGCACTGCCTGGCGAAGTTCTCATCCGGAACACGGAGATCCCGAGGCTCGCCGGATTTCGCTTTGCACTCCAACAGCTTTTGCAGGCCAATCTTTGCCTTCTCCGCCCTTGCATTTGCGGCAGCTTCAGCTTTGTTTGGCTGGGCAGCTGTTGCCTGTTCCGGAGTCTTCGTTGCAATTGCTGAGGCGGCAGAAGGCTCATCCGGCTGCACCTTCTTTTGCCCCCGACGCTTGGGCGCTCGCTTGCTCGGCTCCTGCTTTGGTTGGTCGACCTGCTTGAGTTGGTCGTGTTGGTCCTGCTGGCTTTGGTCCTGCTCGCGCCCCTGCTGGCCACGCTTGCGCTTGTTTTTGCCTTGCTGCTGCGGCGGCTGTGCAGCTGCTTGAAAGGCAGCATACTCTTTGTCCTGCTGCACACCTGCCTCTGCCTCTGCCTTATTTTTCTCCTGCACTTTTTGCTGTTCATCCAGCTTTGCTTGCTTGGCAGCCCGCTTGTTCGCGCGTCGGGCTTCAACTGCGTCACGCTCAAGCTGCTTGGCCCGTTTTTTTTCAAATTTGTCCGCTTGCTCATCGGCGGTTTCCTGCACATCAACGTGTAGCTGTTTATTCAAGCTTAAGCATAGCCATGTACTATCAACTGCATGCAGCATGCCATCGGTATGTACCATAGCAAACATTGTCCTCCTTCTTCTTCTGCCTGAGGGCAGCCTGTTGGGCTCGAATCTCACTGGTGCAAACTTCTGCAGCGGACTCGTCGATCTTTTGCAGGTCAACCGGCAGCTCCATCCGAGCTTTTGCAGGCAGCAGCGGCGCCCGATCCTCAGCAGATGCTTCAGCTTGCGGCACGTGCAAGCACATGCTAGAATTTGATCGCATCTAATATGAACCCAGCTGCTGGGGAAATAAAACACTTTGCCCGATCGGTAACAAGTCACTCGGAACGCTGCACCAGTCTCCTCCGGCACCCGTGGTGGCTCCGGTGCACCACCACCACCACCCATTTGCCCTTGCTTTTGAGGCCCATCGATATCAAGATCATCGGCCTTCTCCTGGCCACAGCAAAGGCGCGTTGGGGCACAGTTGCAAATTCTTAAGGGGCATGGTACACCGATTCATGTGATTGCTTCAATTATCAAATTCAACATTTGTATGATTATTGGTATCTGCAATATTTCAACTGCGTAGCCAGCCTGATCTGGGATGGCGGCCGGAGCTTCATCTTCGTCCGCTGAGAAACATGAGTCCTCCTGGCTTTCCATGATCGCCAGCGGGTCCTGGGGAAGACCCTCATGATCATCCTCTGGAGGGATCGCTAGGTTCTCCTGCACACATGCATGGCAGATCTTGAACTTTGAGGGATATCATGATCAGTATACTGGGTTAGTGACAGCCGTGTGTACCAACACATGTACATGTGTCCAAGGTGCAACTGCATGAAATTTTTAAAAGCGCCTCATCATCAAGCAGCTGCGATTTCCGGCAAGTGCTTGGGCTTCCTGGTTCCTCCTCGCTGCATGCAATCATTTTATTACCCGATAGATCAATTCAATTTGACGCAAACCTGCAAACCCCTGCCTGCTCATCAGCGGGCTCCACAACCCCCGGAATTTGCCTCATGCTGGCCACAATCGACTTCAAGACGCGCACCCGTGGATTCCTGACAGGCGCTCCCCGCGCACGGTGCAAGATCAATCTGGTCAAGCTGAATGCTCGGGGGCCCCAGCCTCGCACTCTGTGTGCGATATGTGATCCTCACTCCATGTGAGGCAAGCGCTCTGAACTTTGTTGCTTCCGCGCATGCCCACTCCTGAGATGTTGCATGTGCATAGCTACATCGATTCCAAATTCCACTCAAAACCAAAACTAATGCTGCACTCAATGTGTATCAAGGGACACGGACTTTGCCTTTGCCACCTCGTTGGCGGAACAAGTGAACGGGCCAGAAGTTGTGGTGCAGGCTCAGGCTGCAAAATGCGGCCTGCAGATCAATTCAAATGATAATAATAATTAAATGTCCGATTAAAATCCTTGAGCCTGTGCAAGTGGCCATGCCTTGAAGCACTCAAGAGGCGCCAGGGGCTTGTCCGCATGCTCCAAGTAGAACTCCCGCAGGAGCTCATAGTTGCAGACCAAATCCTCCTCACATGCCTGGGTGAGTAGGGTCTGATCTCGATTTGTGTGATGCACATGTTGCTTCATATAGGTCAAAAATAGCAGCCAAGGTTCATGGCTAAGGCCCCCGGTCCACTGGACAATCACCTTCTCCTGAGTCAGGTCAACATGGAGCAACTCTTCAAAATGATCGATTAACGTGTAAATCTGGATCCATGCAACGACATGCCAATTGTTGATTGTCCTCCGTGGCCATGATGTCCAGAATGCGATTCTCCACCACCTGCTTTAGGGTCTTCTCGATCCCATCAGCTTCTGCCTTGGCTAGTCGATATCATGAAGCGAAATCAATATTGAACTGAAAGGCCATGATAAATGCCAAGGCTCACTAACCCTCACCCTCATGGGGTGAGTGATCACCCTGGCCACGGGCGCCCCACCGAGGCTCTCAGGCACCAGCGCCATGATTGCGCGGAGTCCAGCCAAAAATGCTGCAGTGAGAAAAAGGGCGTCGGGATGACATGCAAACAAACGCACAGCAAACGGCCGGGACCAAACTTAAACATGCCAAGGCTGACGTAGAACCGCATTCCTGACCAGCCCCATTGCGTTGGCCGAATGCACCCAAATGAATTATTTGCATGTACATGCATTGTTTGCTGCTGCGTGCATTGATGATGCTGTCCTGATGGATGTGCATGCCTGACATGACTAGGTTGCCTGTTCCATGGCCATAAAAACAAACAGCTGCAGGGACCTGCAATCCACAAAGCAGCTAACATGCCCGGAGACCGGTTTTTGCCCTAAAGACCATTCTCAGGCAACGTTGGCTGAAAGTATGCTGTGAGAAGGGGTTTCCAAAAACCCATCCTGAGAGCGTGTTCAGACCCTCAGGGCCACGAAACTCTCAGCAAGTCGAAATTTAGAAATCGCCGTTTCACCAAAGAAACGTGTTTTTCTCGAAAAGACTGAAGAGACACCCAGCAACACACGCAGCTTCACAGGCAGGGCGTGTTTCTCAGGGGCGTCCCAAGAATCCAAGAATGTCCCGTTAAACCAAGCAACAAGCAGTTCATTCGATTCGCAGGCCTTACAAAGTCTCGATCCCAGGAGACATCAAAAGGCTGGACGCTGGGGGTTGGGCTGAGCTGTTGACCTTGTGCTCACCTCGAGAGTCAAAGCAACCCCTCCTTTCTGTACAGCCACCAGCCTTTCTTCAGGGGTTAGGTCCAAAAATACAGGGTTTGTTTATGATCGATCAGTTTTGGGTTCCCCAAAAGTGGGCAACCCTCCATGGTTTGAAGCTCGCCCTACAAAAAACCAGGTACTTGGAGTAGGGGATACATGGAAGTAGCTGCACGGTTCATGGAATGCGATTGTTCTTCATGGGATGTGGCTGAAACATCATTTTTGGTCCAATGTTACTTGAGTGTCCGTTCGGAAAGGTCAAGTTTAAGAGAAACATAGTGGAAACTTGGTGGAAATCGGCTGGCGGGTTCGCGCTGTGATGCCAGGGAACTTGATCTTGGCCTGAAAGTGTCTCCAAATGATGAACGCCCTCTGGGTTGTATTCCAATATTACTTGAGAGGAAGACAACCAACCGCTTGAATTCATGGACGTTCGATGGATGCCCTAATGTTGTGAGGGAGCAAGAGAAAGTCCGGCCCCTCCCCCATTTACCCCGTTCTGCGGTTGGACGTGCTTCCCAGCCTTAGGCACCTTCAGTCAAAGGTGCCCATTTTTCTCGGATATGATGTCAAAACATGTAAGCCCCTGATTGCGATGAGATCCAGGCTCTTCAACATATATGAATATAATATCTCAATACATTGTCAATATATCCTGTAAGGGGCGGATGTTTGGAGTAGGGGGTATCATGATTGTTGGGTATGCATTGTGCATGGAGCTCGGGGGCTCTGTACAAGCCATTTGTGGTCGCTGATTTTGTCTACCATTTGAGCCATGTCTACCATTTGAGCCACATAGCAAAGCCCAGATAGAGGCAAGGTAGGGTTACTAAGGGAAACTCAGACATATTGCTCAAAGCGCTGTGATGTGCCATGCGACTTCTGGACCAGATTGTGATTGTGAACGATTTGAGGCCCCATTTTTTGGTGCCCCGGTTCGGTGCCTCGAGCCCGTAAAGCTCTATGAATTTGTAAAATGTGTGCGGAGGGAACCGTTTTCTTCCCAACAGCTGGAATCTTTTGGGTCGCCTCTCCGGAGTGGATAACTACCTGGCTGCAAAAAGGGCTGGTTTAGTTTGGTTTAGAAGTGAAACCAAAACGGAAACCACATGTCAGTGAAGTCTCCATATTTTCGCAAAGCCCCGCATAGCGCATAGTCTTTGCTGTGAATTCCCAGCTGCTTTCACAGGCGCACAGCTTCACCCTTGCATACAAAGTTAGATCCAGCAATGTGCAGACTTATGAGCGGACTAATCATCAGTTCACCCACTTCTATCCATGGTGATAACCAAGCATGCAGTGACCTCCAGCTTTGACAGGTCAAAGCGTGCCCTGGTTTTGTACTGCTGCGCCTCGTCTTTGCAGTCACTGACGGTAAACCAAACCGGAACAGTTCCATTTCTTGACCCCAAGGTAGACTTAAACCTACGGGTAATTGATTTCCCCAACAAGGTTCAACACATGAGCGCTCACATGGAGCTCTGATCCGAGATGTGCCATGATAGCAACTGCAACCCGTAATTGTATTTGTAGGTTTCTCCGTTGACAAGCCGAGGGGCGGAGTATGAAACCCGACTTCAAAGCAGGTTTTGGGTTCCCAGGGTGTGGGTCAGTACACAGGCCGTTTTTAGAGTTCTGATCAACCCCCACCCCCCTGAGGAATTCGGGTGAGGCCGTGCCCGCAATGAAGAATTCCTCATACATATTCGCTTTGTCGGTACCAAGGAGATGATGTACCCCGGCCCCCGACTCAAAATTTCTTCCGTTTTAAGGGTATCTTGAAACACCACGGTATCGGCTCTATCTATCTTTCTTTCTATCTCTCTTTCTCTCTTCTGTGTATCTGTCTATTTGTCTATCTGCCCGTCTATCGGCCGTGCGAAAGTGTTGCGCCTGCCACGCAACCTATACCTCACCTTGGGAAAGTGCTGCGCATGCCTCACAATCTGTACCTCACCGTGCGCGGCTGCCACGCCATTTGTACCGGACCTTGCGCAAGTGTTGCGCCTGCCGCGAAATCTGTGCCTGACATTGCGAAAGTGCCGCGCCTGTCACGCAAACCCATGCTGCGAAAAGCGCTCGGGCCCGCGCCAATGGCCCCGGCTCCGAATGCGCTCCAGGCGTCGCGAGGCTAGCTTTCGAGCCTCCCAAAGCGGAGGGCTGCGGTTGTTTTATTCCCGCGCGCGCGGGCTCATTTTTCCCGCGCACTCATTCTTCTCTTGTCATCTGTCTCTGAGAGCTAGCTCTCAATGAGTTGTCGTAACGCGGAAGTTCCTTCTAAACTTCCTTTGACTTCTCACAGATATGCAGCCAGCGATATTTGTTCACGTTTGAACGTGCACAGTCTCGTGTCTCAACCTCAAGAGGCCTACCGACAGTTTAGCCATCGCTTCAAAGATGCCCACTAGACCTGAGATGTTTCCGGTTGTAAAACGATTCCGCAGTGGACACAATCCTCTCGAAGTAGAATGCTCGAACTTCGGCCGTGTGGTTGGCACGTCCACGGGCCACTTTGCATTCTGCCACATTCACGCTTTTGCGCAGGACCAAATTCAATGGACGCTTTTGCGCGGGATAGCAGCATTGATCAGTTGATTTGAAAGAAACACATGAAAGAACAATGGTACTCAAATATGTTGTTGATCAATTTGCGATAGCAGACTGACCTTTTTTCAGAAGTTGGGCCTATGGGTTTCGTCTTCCCATGAGGTTAAGTCAGGGCCTCTCAGCAAGACATCAGAGGTCTGACCTCCAGCGGGCTTCCATTTCCTGTGAGGGGATCTAATATCATGAATCATGACTGTTTCAGGGGTCTCGAGGTCGTTTCGATTGGTCACAGTTCGGGTTCTGCGTTGGAGGACCCAGGGCTTTGCAGTCTGATAGCCAACATGACGCCAACATTCCAACCAACCATGCCTTCGTAGGTCCAGTTGGAAACGCGTTTTTGGAGCCAGAAGTTCGCCATGTTCCCATAATGGATCCCACAAAATCGCAAAATGCAGGCTCGGCAGTCGAAGTCCCGTTTCCATTTCCCTCGCATCTGAGGATAGCTTGGAGAGTCGCTCAGCTGCAGCGGTTTGGTATCCAGTCAGTCGGCTGGGTCTGGTTGTTCTTCACTCAGGCTTAGGGTCACAGCTGCGGATTCTGCTGAGGTGCATGCGGAAAAAATAAGAAGAAAACAAAAAAAGAAAACAACAATCACAACCAACAACAAAAAACACATCTACGCGAAGTGATGAGTGTTCGCGCACTTTCACGCAGACCCCTCTCTTTTAGGCCCTCCAAAGTGACTTAAGGGCCCTAAAAGAAACAATATCGGGAACCGTTTAGGGCACCACGTGTTTTTGTTCAAGCCATGCCAATTCTCCCTTTTTCGCTTGCCCAATTCAGTTCAGAGAATTGCCTTTGAACTGCTGAGAGCATCCCGCGGATCATTTTTCGTACCAGTTCCATGTTCCACATGTCTGCTCTTGAGAGATATATCTCTAGGCCTTTGGAGGAAGCCGGGAGGGGGTTGGCGGTGCCGTTTTGGGAGGCGTCTTTGGATGGGAAACTTGAGAGGACCAGGGCCGAAAGCTCCAAGCAAGAACCCGTAGCCAAGCCTTTTAAGCTGGGGCCAAATAGCCATCCCGAAGTGTTTTTGGGCCCTCCATTGGTGGGGTCAATGCCCAGCATGAAAGCGGGCTATGATATTTTGTCCTGACTCCTTGTTTTGCACCCAGCTTGAAGCAAACCCGTTGGAACGCTTCCAATCCTTTCTGGGCTATGATGTGAACGTCTTACTAAAACGGTAGGAATTTACCATGGAAAACCAGGGTATTCGAAAAATATCCAACAGGCGGGCATCGTAACAGGTTCGGCCCTCGCTCGAGGTAATCTCCGTGAGCACCGCATCAAGTGCCAAGCCACCTGCGAATTCCTGCGACAAGGCGCCAATCTGGCCAAGTGACTCCAAGTCCCGGTGCTTGGGGCCCAGGGATTCTTGGAATTCACTGCGCCTTTTGCCCAGTGATTCCAAGCCCCTGCGCCTTTGGATCCCTTGTTGTAGTGTAAATTATGATGTTGGGGATAGCCCCTCGTCCTTGCCCCAGTGAATCGTGGCAACCCGGCCCCGTTTCTCCATAGTGTTCGCTTGAAGGTGTGCATGACAAGAGGTTGGGCACTGAGTGATGGTTCTGGATCAGAAGCTGAGGCACCACAAAGTATTCCTCAGCAAAGTAGCATGGAACCCGGATTCTACGTTCATCTGGGGAGTATAGCAAACTCACCCACCATAACGGTTCCTGGCTTCGGGGATCTCTGGATTCATGTTGGCGAATGATAGTACTTAGTTAGTTTAGGCGTTTCCACAGACCTTTGTTTCCAACCCCACAAGGCGCAGCGAGCCTCAAAAAGGCTTGCACCCCGTATTTGTTTAAATGTATATTTATTTACACACATGTATAATATGTGTACATACACAATAAAACATATGATCCTTGTTCAACAATTGGAGAACCTTCAAATACAAAGTGGGCACCCGACGCTCGACGGCGCCCCGCAGGCAGCAGCGCGCCACGGAGACAGCGGCGCATCGCCGGGCGCTCGAATCGGCGGATCGGCGGTGGCGCTTGGTACCCCACAGATAAAAGGTACCCCGTACCAGTCCCCAGGGAAAGCCCCAGGTACCCCATCTCCGGAATTCCAGGGAACCTCGAAACTCCGAAGTTCCGGGAACCTCGAAGCTCCGGAGTTCCAGGGTTCGGAACCTCGAAGCTTCTGGATCAAGCTCCGAAATCCGGAGATTTCCAGGGTTTGGGGCCGACCTCAAGGGCTTTAGAGCCAAAGCGCCAGGATTTGGACCCCAAACCTCAAAGGCCACTAATCTGCCAGTGCTGTTTCGGGTATGTGGAAGAACCTGGGCTTGGTGATGCATGAAATCCCTGGGCGCAGTCAAAGGTCCGGACCCCCTAACCTCAAACATGCAGTGAGTTTTTCACAACATGCGATCGGGCTCCTTTGGGAAACAAAGGTTTGAAGACAAACCGGGTGTTTCCCCCGCCCCGGACTGCAGATACGGGACTTCAGAACTTGCGGCTGGTTTTTGGTTCTGAGAGTCACGAGGCTGCAATCTTTTCACCTTATGCTCTACATGCTTTTGTCTCAAAATTTGGGGACTGCCAACATGGGTGTCCTTTTGGTTTCCTTTGCACTCCAAGGGGTACTCATACGACTGAAAGTGGTTTCGGGGCGGCCTGGCTTTCTTATTTCCCTTAGGCCAGCAGGAGGCCCACTGCGCACTTAGTGGTCAATGTGGGTGTGTCTGTTTTTGAGGGTACCTTTTGGGCCACCTTTCAGAAGGAATCAGAGTGCTGTCCGGCAGTTTGGGATCTCCGGCGGAATGTTCGCAGGGCTTCCCCAAGAGCACGCGACATGCGCCCTCGTGCAAAAGGCTGCGCGTGGTTGCAATGCGATCGGATCAAAGAAGAACTTGCGACCCGAAAAAAGGGGGACCAAATTCGTGGCCAGCGATTCCACTTCCTTTTTTGCCCGAACGAAAACGGCACGTGCCAGGATGCTCCTGGAACCCTAGAGTGGTCCCCCCGCGGCCCCCCCCCCCGCCCTAAAAGCAGGTGCTTGTGGGTTCCTCGTAAGGCCGCTCTTGTAAATATGTTTGGTTTTCTGCGCAAAAGCACTTTTCTTCAGACAGGAAATCTACTGGCGGGTCTTTGGCCTGTAGAAAGAATTCCCAGTGGAATATCCTTTAGCGTTTCTATTTTTTTTTCCTGAAGAGTATGCACAAAACAACAATCACCTGTAGCTGGTATCTATTATTTTCCGTGAAGAACCCAGGATTGCTGGTTTGGAGTCGGATTTGAACCGCTGGTTCTTAACCACCACCAAACCCCCGATTCGGCGCCAAACCACCCTTCTTGAGGCAGGCTGATTTCAGCTACCTGTTACTTGGTGGTTTGGATTGGCGTTTTGGGATGTGATCCCCAGTTCTTTTGAAGCCAAATGGGGACCGTCGCCCCGAACGTCCAAACCACCGACTCGGCTCACCAATTCGGGGGAGGCCACATTGTGGGATGTGGTTTCCCAAGGACACGAAGCTGGACGACATGTGCACGCGGGACGGCATCCAGGGGATCCGGCGCTACATCAGGATCGATGCCGAAGAAGTCCGAAAGGGTAGCCAGGAAGTTTGACAGGGCAACAGCGGAAACCCGCAGTTGTGGTTGTTTTTGGTGGAGTGATTGGACTGTTGGGCGAGTTTTGGGAATGTCCTGCTTGTTTCTATGTTTCTGACGAGAACGGGGCAAGCATTTGTTTCAGCAGGCCAATGAACCCGGACCCTACCATCTTCAACAGAGAACCCCGACCCTTCAATCTTTGCGACAGCACTCGCGAGCCTAAGGGGCTACCTTAAAAGGGACACCAAAAGGAGGATGTTTAAACAATGAGCGCCTAAGAGTTTTGAAACAGGGCGGTTGGCTCAGACCATCTTCCTGACCCCCTAAGGCACCTTTGGGAGAACCAGCAAATTGACCTTGAAACGATTCTTTTTTGAGCGTCTCAAAAAGATCGAACACCAGCCTTTGCGTAAGCTGGATCTTCCTTTTGGAAGCTGAGAGCCCTGCTCCAAGCATCAAACAGGCGCGCTTTTCCAACTGAAAGGGGGGGAGGTCCTGGCTGATGCTTGGGGTAGGTCAGGGTTGGGTGGCAAATGTAGCACCGGTTTATCCTTATGATGACCAGCGGAGCCTTACTACCGCAAGGCGCTGCCGCCCCAAGTCAAATGGTTCCAGTCAACACGAAAGCACGTCTGCAGTGGTTTCGGTTGTTTGGTTTGTTGTGTGTTGTCTGGTTTCGAATTGTCTCGTCTTTGTTTGCTTGTTCTTCTTTGTGTGTGTGTGTGTGGTGTGTGTGTGTGGGTTTCATTATGTTCTTGTTTGCGTGGCTGGGTTGTTTGGTTTGTAGGATGAAGGGTCGTTGGCTTGTGGGTGGTCTTGCTTGCCTGCTTGCCTGTGCCTGCTTGCTTGCGCTTGCTTGCGCTTGCTTGCGCTTGCTTGCGCTTGCTTGCGTTTGCTTGCTTGCTCGTTTGCTTGCTTGCTCGTTTGCTTGCTTGCTCGTTTGCTTGCTTGCTCGTTTGCTTGCTTGCTCGTTTGCTTGCTTGCTCGTTTGCTGGCTTGCTCGTTTGCTTGCTTGCTCGTTTGCTATTTTGCTTGCCTGCTTGCCTGCTTGCCTGCTTGCCTGCTTGCTGGCTGGCTTGCTTGCATGCTTGCATGCTTGCTTGCGTGCTTGCTTGCTTGCTTGCTTGCTTGTGTTTAGTTGAATTAGTTGTGTGCTTCGTTTGTGTTTGTTTGTTTGTGTGTCTGTCTGTTTGTTTGTTTGTTTGTTTGTCTGTCTGTCTGTCTGTCTGTCTGTTTGTGGCTTACCGTTGTCTTTTTTTCCGTCTTCCTTGATGTCTTTCTTGATGTTTGTTTCTTTGTTTCTTTGTGTGTGTGTTTGTTCGCTCATGAGTCATTCTGGCTGTACTGGCATAGCATGGTCGCAGTGTTGTTGGGTTCCTCGAGAAATGTTGTTTCCAACAGCAACCGCCTGTTGAGTTTCTATCTCTAAGCCAGGGGGCGGTAATTAATTTGCCCCTCCGGCGAGACGGGAACCGTCTGGAGCCCTGGAACCCTGTTGGGTTGCATGGGCTATTTTGTTGAGGTCCAACTTGAGGAATTGGTCGCTATGGCTTCTTCATGCAGGGCGCCTTGTAACGTCCACATTGGAGGGGGCATAACCGATTCTGCAAGGAATTGGCTGATTTACGATTTGGAAGGAATTGTTTGTTTCCCAAACACGACGGGCTTGGGAAAGCACAAATCGCTGCACAAGCGCCCACTCTTTCCTCAGCCGTCTTTTTGTGGGGCCCCCTTGAAGCATACATGTTTGGTATCTCCCCCCCCCCCATTCGCTCCCAGGGTTTGTGCCATGAACATCACCTGTAGCTGATTGAGATGATTGTGTCTCGTTTCTGCAGGTGGTTTTGGGGCGACCCCATTTGAGGTCCCAGGATTCTTGCCCTGATCCCAGTTCCCCACAAAGGGTCAGTGTTTGGATGGTTCTCTTGGTTAATTGCCGGAGTCTATGAATCTCTACAGGGACATGGAATCACCTTGGGGTTAACAGAACCCTCCGAAGGACTCGCAAAAATCCGAAGCCGAAGTCATTTCGCCGGAGGCAGCTGAACGGGACTGATGGAGCCGTGAAGGCGAGATCGGGCCGCATGTGTTTTGCTCTAGACGTAAAGGGCTTGTAGTACCCAGTGCTTCCAGTTACAGGTACAGGCATATGTTTACCAGGTTTTACATGGCTTCCGCTAGTTATACCTATAGTGGCTTGCCTGGAAGCACTGGACATTATCACCCTCCCTTGGGGGAAAGCAACGTCCGTTGGTGTTGGTGCCTCCACAAAGATGCCCATTCTATTCGGGAAAGCCCTTTCTGGGTCATGACCCCTCCAACCCAATGCAGACGCGAGGAGGATTTGGCCCTATATGGAGAACCCAGAGTCGCAACCAAGTCCGATTCCCGGGCCCTCAAAAACAACTGGACCGGACCGGACCCATTCGGGATAATTATTCAAAGGGATAAAAGTGAGGCAACTAGGGCTTGTCTCCTTGTAGGTCATAACCTGCTTGCAAAGTGGTCGGTTCAAACACCTATCCCAAAGGGAAATGTGATCCCGGGTGCTGCAATACGACCCTTGGCTTGTGGATCCCTTACATGAGAGCCCGCGACACAAATCTCTGTGCAGGTCTCTCAGTTGGACACCCAAGGTTCACTTGCAATATTGAGGGAATTGTTCGAATTGCCAGAGTTCGACCTTGGACACAGGCGCGGGGTCAGTCGCATTCAGGCCGAGTACTCGACAGATCGGCTTCCACAGCTACAGAGGCGCAAGGGAGCAGGGTAAGCAATTCTTTTCTGTACTGACTTCCTGAGCGGACTGGCCAAAAATTTCTATTCTGTTTATTTACCACTAGAATTATCCAAGCCAAGAAAGCCTAAAGTCCAGGGGTCTGCATGTGGCGTGAGCCATGAAAGTCTAATTTCCCAGACGCTCGTCGGACACAGGGACCACAAATAGCGAGGCTTTCTGACGGCCCGGCCAGCCCTGAGCCCTTGGGCAGCGGGTGACGCGCTAGATGGTTCGTCAATTCAGACCCCACTTGGGCTCCATGCAGAACCCGAAGCGCGACCGCTTTCTTCTTCGTGGTTCTTGAAAGCAAGCTGCTGCTTTGAGGGCTCAAAAGAGTTGGGACCCTAGGGTCATGGTGTTGAGCTTGAAGGTCGATCGATTCGGGTCCTCCGTAGTCGATTCTTCGAGACTGCTAGGCGCGGGCCGCAGATGAAGAACCCCCCACGGGGCTCTGAGGCGAGCCGAGTCCTCGTCGAGCTTTTGAGTTTCCATTACCCCAAGTCATCCCAGATGGACAATTCCCCTTGGAGATTCAAGAGGGGTAACTGGTGTTAGCCATGTGTTAGCCTGCTTTCGGCCGTGAGTATTACGCAAAGGATCCCAGGCTGTTCGCCACAAGAGGTGACCCTTCGCCAGTGGTTTACCTATGTGGACATGGCTACCTGAATCAAACGGGCCCTCAAAACCCTAGCTGAAGGTAGTGGTTCCTGATGGTGAAAGCCTCCCATTCCAAGGCTGAGCGGGAAGAACAGGAGGATGCACGGCCTGTGTTTCCTTTTGTCAGGTCAAGACGTATTCCGTGTCTCCTTTTCTGTTGTGGTTCTCACCCTAAGCATCGAAGCATGAAGCGGGTCCTCCGACAAGTCGCTTCTTGAGGCAAGCAAAACATTCCAATGGAGCGGTTCGACCCCTTCATGCTTAATTAGGGCAGAATGCTTCTTGTCTTTTGGTCGACGTATGAAAGAGGAGCTAACTTGCATAAGGTTTCGATTCGACGGGTTTTTGGGGTGCTCAAACATGGTTAGCTGCTTTTGAAGGGTTGGGGTGATGAACCTGCAGATATTCTCAGCGTCCCCTGCGTGTTGAACAGTTCAGGTGGAGGGACCGAGAAAAATGCAGTCATTGGAGGGTTACCAATGTTCTACGCTCGTGCCACTCCGATGGACAAAATCATGCCCTGAATGTGGATGGACATTTTTCTGCCCTGAGGAATGAAGCCTTGTGACTACTGCCAAGGCATCATGGAACCCCTTCACTCCCGACTGCGTTTGTTTTCAAAACTGGCTGACCGTTCTTTTTCTTGCCCTTCACAGTTGGTGGCGCTTCGAATCTTCCATAAGGCGCCTGGTCATAGGTGTCCTTTTTGGTTGTTTTGCTAGACAAATCGATGGCGATTCCTGGTTTCCCTGGTGGTTTACTCATCTGCCCAGACTCTCCATGACCTTAAAAAAAGGGGGCATTGCCCAAAATTAAGGGGTCATGACCCCTTTTCCAGGGGTCATGGAGACTCTAGGTACCAAAGAAACCCATCTATTTCCCTAAACGGACACCTATGCGCCTGGGGTCCGTTTCGTTTCGCGCTTTCGTCAGGAGGGCCGGGACGTGTCGGCGGTGTACGCCGCCATGGCGGCGAAGCGGAAGAGGATCCCCCAGGCGCCCAAGCCAACGCCTCAGCCGGGGATGTTCGGCCTCAATCCTGGAGTTGGGAGATCTGGGCAGGGGGGCCAGAGACGTGAACAATGAAGTCTGCCTTGGAGGGGTCATGACCCTCACTCAGTTGTTCAGTGGCACCAATTCCTTTTCCCTTTTTTTTGGTGCCCACGACAAATGGTCTTCCCCAAAAAGGGCTCCAATCCTTTTCAGGGTCACTGAACATCCGAGTCAAAACTCCGAGTCCAGCGGTTTTTTTTCCGGGCGCCGGAGGAATTGGTCGCCATGGGCTATGGGTTCGACATTTGGAGGACCATGGTTTTGGGGCGTCAGAAGAAAAGGCGCTTTGCAGCCTAGGCATCAAGAAGGGCGAATCCGTTTTGAGGCAACAGCACCTTCCAATGGAGGTCCGGTTCGACCTTTTCAATGGAGGGTCCAATGCTTCAACCGATTCCAAAAGGATGGCCGCCCAACAAAACCCAATTTAGATGAAACTGCTGAACTCGTAACCCCGCAAAGCGGCAGCAAGGGACTTCCATTGGATGGGGTTCTAGGACCTCCATGGGATGTTTGTTTTTGTGGCTGCCTCACCGCAGATGCCATTTTGAAGGCCTGTTTGATGCTTAGAGTAGTGATTATCCCTCTTGCTTGGGTCTTCTCAAAAGGCTTGCTACACGGGGGCATCATGGTGTTGATACCTCCTTTTTTAGTCAGCTGACATGATGCCCTTTGTCTCTAATCGCAACAACGTTACTTTGGTGGAGAAGGAAATTGAATTGGCAGTATTGGGGGTGGGGGTTGGGAAGTAGGGGGTCCTGAAACACCCTTTAACTGCAGGTGGCAAAAGGCCAGGCCTGGCTCGAAGATTCAGAGGGATCGTGCTGAGCGTCAAAGCCCCGATTTGTTTGCATTGAGAAAGTCTTCCCAGACGCTCGTACAGTCGACTCCTCTGAACGGGACGCGGTCCATGTGTGAGTCAGTGAATTCCTTGTTGGAGAACCCCAAGGAGTTCTTACCCCCTCATCCTTTTGTCGTCAAATTGTTTTGGCAAAAGGTCCTGAGTCGGGTCCCTTCGCGTCACCAAAACGGCTCCGATTGGTGAGGCTGGGGTGAAAATGGCTTCACAGTACATCAGATCTTTGGACACTTCTCGCCAGGCGGGTTCAGGGCCCTCCAACGGAGAATCCGAATCGCGACCAAATTCCTCAACCCTTGAAAACAAGTTAGGGCCCAAAAACAATCGATTCGGACCCTCAGGGTTGGTGAAAGGCATCCTTTTCGCGCCACCAGTCCTAATAAAGTCCCTTCACTGCAAGGTCCTGTTTCGAGGATTCTCCCTCCATTCCGAGGTGCCTGCTGCCAGTGCCTCCCACCGGAGATGATGAGCTGGGGTGCCTATTTTTTTTCCGGGGATGGGGAACCAGGGTCTAGCCGACTCGATGTTCGGGAGATTAAGCCAAACCACCTCCTATAGCAGAGGATACCAACAAAAACAGCCCTAAAAAACCCGATTGTTTGGTCCCTCCCAACTTCTTTTTTTAATGGCCCTTGAGAGGTCGGGGTTCTCCATTGGAGGGTTGCTTATACAGTCTGCATTGCAGGGGTCATGATCTTTATGGGGCGAAACCATGCATTTTTTATGTTTAGTCAAGGTAGCGGCAATCACCTGTTATTTCTGAGTTCTTTGGACAAAACGGAGATACTATGAAACATCACAGGCATTGAAGGCAGCATTTGCCTTTCATGATTTCTCCATTCATTTGTGGTTTGGATTGGTGGTTTGATGGTTAAGGGTAGTGTCCCATTTACCCTCTACAAGAAAGAGGGCTTCAAATCCAAACCTCCAATCCAAAACCACCAATTCTTGTTGAGGGAAGCTGAATATTTGCCTTCAAGCGCCACAACGGGAGCTGTGGGCCTTTTTGCGACAAACCCCCCACAGAGAACCCGGCCACTGATACGTGTCCAAAGCCCAGGTGGCCGAAGGAGGACTGCGTCGCGCTGGATTTGCGGAACATGAACCTCACGGACGACGAGGTGGAGTTCCATTTGAGCGTGAGTCGTTGGGGTCTCTTTGGTGGACATCATTTAGCTGGGGTTGTAGGTCCACCAACCTGTTGTGGGGAAAACAATGAAAACACACATATATATGTTCCAGGCCGTGGACCCCCCCCCCCTCCCCCCCCCCCAAGTCCGCTGGTTCATGAATCCAATGTTGACAATGCGTGGGTTGTCTTGGAGTTGGTTTCCATCCCCATTTGGCATGGCTTCAAAGGGACACCGAAAGGAACACCAGGCTAGGTCAAACATTTTGAAGGGGACACTTTTGAAGGGGAAACATTTTGAAGGGGAAGAATAAGATCCACATTTACCTGATTTTTAGAATAACATGTAGTGGTTTTGCAGCGGATACATTTGTGCCCGTGAGGGTAGTGGTTGTGGGGCGGGGGGCTGATTCTGGATTGATGTCCCAGTTCCACCATGCGCTCAATGGGCAAAACTGGCGCGCATTTCGTATCCACGGGCATGTGTTGCCGCCATTTGCTCCAAGCGATCGAAGAACAGAAAACATCAGCTGAGAGCATCTGCTGAGAATATCTGCATTTCTTCCGTGGCTTCAGGTTCAGTTGCAACCGGCCTTCCGCGGCTAATTGCCTAAGCCGATCAAGAAGTCACAAAGCCGAGCCGATGGCGTGGCGCGCCGAAGCTTGGCGATGGGTGCGCGTCTACCCAAAGCCGACGCCTTTTTCTCCCCGCGGCATGAGAGAGTGTCTTCCTTTGAGGGAATATTTTTGAGTCCGGGACGCCCGGCCTGGACCCCGCAGACTCGGCCCATGTCTAATTCGTTCGGAACCTATCATACGTTCCCATCTATTGGACAAGGAGGGTCAAGAAAAATGCAACTAACCAACTAACAAATCCGTGTGCATCATAGATTCTTGAGAATTTGCATCAAATGTCTGAAATTTCAGCGTTTTCAAAAACACTGAAAAACAAAAGCCCGCATGACGTCCCTTTCTCATTTTTTTTGCCGTGGTTTTCAAGGGCATTCAAACAAAGACACCTTGTGTTTTTGGAGACAAACACATGAGATTGAAGCGAGCTTCTCGGGAGGTGGCCCTGAAAGCAGGCACCGGGTTTCCGCTGCACATGATGGCTTCCCCTAGCTACCTACTATTCAGTTTGCCCGTAATTGGTGGTTTGGATTGTTGGGATATGAACTCCAGGTCCTTTTGAAGCCAAATTTTGAATGGGGAAGGTACCCCGAAATGTCCAAACCAAAGATCCCAGCCACCAAGTATGAGTGAATTGGAGGCGAGCCCCAAACCACAGAGGCCAAACTATAGTGCTCTACGGGTCATCAATGCAAACCCCTCCAACAGACCCTCCAATAGAGAACCCATAGCGACCTATTCTTCCTTGGCAAAGCATCCCAGTTTGAGGGCCCAAAACCAATTGAAGGGACTTGGAGCATCCTATTCTGACGGCCCAAAACCAATCGAATTGGACCTTGAGGGTACCAATTAAGATGCACCGGGTCGGCCAATCGATGTCCCACCTCTGAGGACGGCTATGGCTCGCGCCGGCGCGAGGGCGAGCGCAGCCGCTCCCCCAGGAAATTCGACAGCAGGAAGATCTCTTCGGCGGCTTGGCGGAGACATTGGCGTCGCCGGAAATCGCCCACTGTCCATTGGATCTGCATTTGGAACCATCGTAGACTCAGCCCAAAGCCGACCTGTTGTGCTTTTGGTGTCTTCTTTTTGGTGCATTTGTAGTCATGGCCTCGTCCTTGCTCTTCCCGCGTCCCCAGACCCCTTTGGACCCAATGCAGACCCCCTCTAAATGAGGCTCTGCGATGAAGAACCCGATTCGCATGTGACCGATTCCGAAAAGAGGCCCCTGAGAACACTTAGCGTTGGCTAAAATGATGAACAAAGAAAGACTTGAATTAAGCCTATAGGTTCGGATTTGAACGTTGACCAAGTTGTCCGGTTTCGTTTGTCACACCGAATCCCTAGGGCTCAACCCGTTACAAGAATAGCAAGGGCCCAATTAGCGATGGTGAAACTCCTTAGGCAATCCACGGTGGTTGCATTTGCCCCCCATTGTTTTGGTGGTGGTGGATTGGATCTGCGAGAATGTTGACTTCGGCGTTATCCAACCGGATTTGCTACCCATGCCCCCCCTCCCAACAAAATGAATTTCACAAACAACAAACGGCTTTTAGACAGCGCTTGAGTGTTGGAAGGGCAGTCGTAGGGTGGTCCTGAGGGTCATGACGGTCATGACCCCTTTGATCCAATGCAGACCTCAAATTGAAAGAGAAGCCCCACTGCAGACCCAATGCCTTTATTGGAAGAGAAGCACAATGGGCACCTCAAATCGTGGCCCGAGGAAGGATCCATCCAACGTTCCCATGTCATGACAAAAACAAGTGGAGGTTGGAGGTGGTAGCGATTTTAAAGGTACTGGGCCCTTCAAAGTGGAAACCATTTTGAGGGGTTCTTGAAATATGTTTGTTAGGACCTAGGTTTTCCGTAAACCACCCGTTTTTCCGGTAATTTCAAGCGCTGCTTCTTTTACAGACCACTAGTTGGAGGAAATCCGAGATCTGGGGGTGCGATGAGTTTTTGGAAGCCGCTTGCATGGACCCACATCCGTTTCGGACTCTTAGGCGCTCTGCGCCATGGCGCGCTATCCGAGACTCGGCCTGTCACGACAAAGCGCGCTTGCCGGCAAGGCAACAACTGGCTTTTCCATGACCCTCAGCATCGTGGGTCCTCAAAAAGGCGAATCCCTTTTGAGGCAACCAAAACTATTTTTAGGAGTTGGAACCACCTCATACGTGGCTGGACATAGATCCTTGCCGAATTCTGATGCGCACCAAAGCTCCCCAATTAGACTTCCCACCCATAGGGTTTCATCCATCCCAACTGTTGAGAAGCTGATTTTGTCCACAGCATTTTGGGACGAATGTGCTCAGCATGGGTTGTGTGGAGGCGCATGGGCGAGACCCGTCGAAGTCTTTGCAAGGTCCTACGAAAACCCCTTACTCCAAATCGCCGCTTGCTTCAGGGTGTTTTTGCAGAACCCGATTTTCCACGGCAAGCACCTCCTTCTTTAGTCAGGGGCAACCAACATTTTGTCATCATGCCCTAAAGAGAATGGTGTTGGGAACAGGGTCCGCAGCTCGAAGCCATGCAGTAGGATCGCTTTTGAAGGTTCGCACCCTGGCTCATGCGTCTTCCGCAATACCAACCCAAAGCAACCTCGCAGGGGAAGGTGTCCAACAAATCTAGGCTGGAATTAGGACCCCAGCAAAAACAGTATTTTTGCCTGGCTAGTGGAAAACAAAGGGACCCAAAAAAATCAAAAAACAACAAAAAGGGGAGCTAATTCTGGGGAAGAACTTAGGCCTTTTGGTCGGTTGACGGAAGCCGCTAAAGGACTATTCAGCTGGCCCCCTACCACGAAATCAACAAGTAATATAAGGGGCTAAACAATTGGCAAGGTGGGTTTGGGGTTTGGGGTACCATAACACTCAATTTAGCCACAATGGTCTGTATAGGACCATACTATATTGTACTAGTACTTCCTTCACCCCTTGCATTGGGACAATGACCTGGTCTGTAGAGCTTTGTCCAATCGACTGTCGTGGCCTGTGTTTACGGGCCTTTTCAAAATGGTCTGAGAATGATCATATTGTTGACAGAAGGGAATCCCCATGGAGCTCGTATGACACTTCCGGTGGAAATTCGACGGAGCTCGCATCCACACACTTGCTTTCTTCGGCTTCCTGAGGTGCCGTACTCCGGATTGTTGTCGAGGGCCAAGAGGAATTGCTGGGGAGCGCCCCGAAGTGGGGTCTGCATTGGGTCCAACGGGGTCATGACCCTTCGATTGTTGTTTCAGATGGGTTACCCTCAAGAAATGACACACCCAATGACTTTGGTGTCTGTGGTTTCTCAACTTGTCGGTTTTTCCCCGCAACCCGTTGATCGGGTCGGAGCCATTGGAATGAGGCGCAACCGCCCGGAGGGCCTGGTGGTGGACGAGAATGGGAGGCTCTCCTTGGATTCCTTGATGACTTCCTGGGCACAGGAGCGAGGCGCCACGGCTGCTTTGCCCTCCTCTCCTCCTCTCCTCCTCTCCTCCTCTCCTCCTCTCCTCATCTCCTCCTCTCCTCCTCCCCTCCTCTCCTCCTCTCCTCCTCTCCTCCTCTCCTCCTCTCCTCCTCTCCTCCTCTCCTCCTCTCCTCCTCTCCTCCTCTCCTCCTCTCCTCTTCTCCTCTTCTCCTTTTCTTTTTTACTCCTCTCCTCCTCTCCTCTCCTCCTCTCCTCCTCTCCTCCTCTCCTCCTCTCCTCTCCTCCTCTCCTCCTCCCCTGCTCTCCCCATTTCTCGGTTTAGTGGTTGGAATCAGACTGCTTTTGGAGGGTAAACGGGGGTTGATTTATATGGGGTCGACATTACAGCCGGGTGTTCGCACCGCTTGAGTTCAACCCCCAGAGTGCAAGGATCATATTTTCTCCAGTGTCCAGGGGTTGAATGGGCTATGTTGGGTAATCGTTTAAGTAGGTCATAACCGTAAGGAGACTACCCGCAGTTGACCCAGTTATCTCCATGGGCAATTCATCCTCAAGGGCAATTGAGAGGATCCAAAAGGACTTGGGTCTGGGCAGAGGCCCAGCCAAACCAGAACCTTGGCCCAACTGGGCTGCCAGAGCATGCAGAAAAACGAAAGCGCCACGCCGGATTCGCTTCCATGGGGCATTTTTGGGTAACTTCACCGTTTTCAATCTTTTCAAGCCTCTGAGAACTACAGGGGTCATTTCTTGGATGGCTGAGTTGCCTGTGATTGCGGGTTGCGTGAAAGATTTCGGTGCAGAACACCACCTTGCTGATCCGGCGGGAGATCTAAGATCCAGAGAAGTGTTTTCCCATTCGATTTTGTTGTTGGCACGCTCTCTTATTGAAATCAAATAGCAACAACAACAGACCCCCCGCCAACCCCAAGCAAGCTGTTGCAACAGCCGTTGTTGGGTGGGAAATGCCAGGTCTAGGTCCAGAAGGTCCTCAACCAATTTGAGGGCGGTCAAAATATCCCAAACGTGGGAGGGCGAGCTTCAAGCGCAAAAGCCACCCTACTGGCACCCGCTCTTTTTAGGGTGTCCTCCCGAAACCTCGACAAGGGCACAAGGGCCATTTTTGCAGGTAAGGGGAAGCCATCATGTACCAGCCCTAAGGGTCCGGTGGCCCATTGAGATGCCCTGTACGATGTTTTGCCGTCTTGAAGCTGAAGCCAGCAGTTGGGTTTGTCAAAGCCCTGGCTCTACCTGGGTTGATTTGCTTGTCCCGACCCCATGTGAACCTTCGTCATGTTGACTCCGGATTCGTTTAAACCTGTCCTTTTATTCATTGGGGGAGTGTTCCCTCCAAAAGTGAAGAATCCCAACTAACAGCGGCCGCCCCTGTGAACAGCAAATTGGTTAATCCGAGGTCGACGCGAGCAAGGTTAGAGACCAAAGTCAACCTCTCATCTGGCGCTCGTTTTCTTGCCAGGTCTGAGCAGGAAGGACGTGTGCGAGGCCGTGACGAAGCACATGTGGCAAGATGAGAGGGAGCAGAAGCTAAGGTACACCATGGATCCTTGGCACAGACCCTATCGACCAGGGTAGGATACTCCCAAACGCCGGCCTATCCCAGACTCCGACCGATTCCCGCCAAAAGGAACGGAAAGGGCCCAAGTTGGATGAAATGCCGGGTTCGGGTCAAGAATGGTGGCTACCGCAACCATTGGTTTTGTGGTTTGAAACGCAGGGCTCAGCGGCCCACCTGATGACTAAAAGTGGAAAACCTATAGTTTTGAACCTTGCAAAGAACAAGAGTTGGTATCAGGAGGGAGTGTGACCAACCTTTTGCCTTTTGGCATGTAAGGTCAGTTTCTTTGTCTTATCAGGGAAATTAAGTCACTGGGATGATGAAACACCCTTTCACTTTGTCGTGTGTGTGTGTGTGTGTCAGTCAGCTAAGCCGAAGGGCCAGCCTCACGTGTTTTGTTCTGATCCTTCTCGACGAAACGGACCTCCCTCCCTGGTCTGATCGACGGATATTGGGCTTAACAGTCGCTTAAACGAGACCCGAAACAGGTCGGCGTGTGCGGGACCACAGGCCGCAGGACCCTATCTATGTATCCCTGCAGGGTCATGACCCCCCGACCTTTCAGGGGCCCTTCAAGCACCACCAGTTTGGAGGGCCCAAAAACAATCGGGACCCTTCGGGATATATTCTGCACATGTATATATCAGCGAGTTGTGCGGCGAGCTTGCCATTTCTTGGGGAAAACGAGATCACTCCGATGTCGGCTGCGATCTCGAACTTCAGGTTCTCGAGTTATGGGAATTTGCGGATCAGCCAAGGAGGAAGAGAATGGGGAGGTATTCATCCGTGTCCATCCTCGCCAGGAGAGAGGCCAGGGGGAACATGTCCAACGGGGAGTGTCCAGACCTCCAAATGTTTGCCTTTTTGTTCGGGGTATCGTAGCAAGATCCCGCAGTTTGTGCGGCTAAGTACCTCTTTTTTTTGATAGGGGCTGACATCATTCAACATCCTACCCTTACAAAAATGGGTTTGGCTGCGGGGGTACGAATTGTTCCCTACATGTTCCATCAGGTTATTCATAGGACCCCAGCCATCGCCCTTTGCACGTAACCATGTATGTTTACGTGCACCCAAAATGTCTCGATCGTTTTTGGACCCTCACAACTGCTTGTTTGCACGGGCCCCCTCAAACAATTGGTCGCTCTGGGTTCGCCATTGGAGGCTTTGGATGTGCATTTGGTCATGACGCGGGCAAGTTTTGCATGGCTTGCCAAAGTTGCCTAGAGTGAAAAGGTATTTGGGTGTGTGTGTTTTTTGAGGGTACCCCTTTCTTGGTGGTTTTGCCTTTGGTTTTAAAGGGAACCACGAGGAAAGCCACCAAGGGATCCACCCAAAACAAGACACCACTCAGTTGATAAGCCAAAGGAGAAATCAGGTTCCAGGCCACGGCATCAAAGCCATGAGGACTCCTCGTGTTTTCGGTTTCTATGTTCGAGTAGGTCCCCCAGAAATTGGTGCCCTTTTTGAAGCCTTTTTTGGTTGGGAGGGTTCACCTACTAGAATAGACTACAGAAAAAGGGTATTCTAACCTCTCTACTGGAGGACCAAAACCAGAGGTCCCCCCCCCCTTGCAACCCCCTTCAATGGGTCCTGTATGTTTAAGCCAAAGTTCAATAGGCTTCGGTGCTAGTCGGAGTGTGGTATAGGCTATATAGGCTAGGTCCTCCAGTAGAGAGGTTAGAATAAGGGTACCCCTTTTTTCTGTAGTCTATTTTAGTAGGGAAACCCTGCCCCAAAAAAGGGTAAAAGGGCACTACTGGGGGACATAGTGTCAGCAGGCAGGTTGGTTCGGGGGGGTCCTAATTCGACTCGAGTTGGAGTCACGCAGGAACATCGCTAGTTTAGTGTTGGTTTAGACTTGACCTATTCTACATTCAAGTATTCCCGGACCTGGACCTTTGTGGAGTTTGGATAGGTATAGGTTCTTTGGGGACCTCATCATTAGGAAGACGGGGTTACCAAGAAAACCTTTTTGAGTTGAGAATGTCATGGGAATCAGCAAGTTTGCAGATTTGTGCACCCGGATGCGCTCCGCGCTTTGTTGCTCCGATAGGTTGGCGCGAGAGGGGCGACCGAGGCGACCGAGGCGACCGAGGCGATCGAGGCGACCGAGGCGACCGAGGCGCGAGCCGGGTGACGTGACCAAATCGGGGAGCCATGGCCCTGAAAGCCTCGGTCCTCAATGGCCCCAGGAATGTCGCTCTAAGCTGCACTGGCTTTGCTATGGCTTTTCAATCGGTATAGCACTGAGTCTATGGCATGGCATGGTCAGTTTTACAGGGCGGAGCATCCAACATCACCAAACAAGGGTGAATGCTGATGGCAGGCAATTTGAGGAGGGCAGTGCATACACTGTGCATGTGTGTGTGGCCTGTTTTTCAGGCGGCTTCACTTTGCGGTGTACTGTTTGATCAGTTTTTGTTCACTGACCGGTGTTCTGACTCGGGCGTTGCATCGCCACGTTATGACGCTAGCCAGCCTTTCAGGTTGGGCTCGATGGGAGTCTCATTTCTAGTTTGGCAAGATGAGTTTACTGGGCACCCCGTCGAACTTGTCACGATTCTCGGTATGGGACACGGTCCGAACGAGGGCCCCCTTTTAAATAAAATTTGTGGTGGTAACACCGGAAGGGGAACCCTCTGGTTGATGTAGATCGGGGGTTGCCCCACTGAAAGCGGGGATTCATCGCTGTTGGAGGGAACGCTTCCCTATGGGTCTAGTATTCAGAGGTCACCATTAGTGGTAAGTAAGTTCGGACTGCTTTTGGCAACCTTTGGCCAAAGTGTCAATATCAATGCTAAAATCAGCTGTGACGTACACTCACGGAACCCCGAACGTGCATGCCGTTCCGAGCTGAGATTCCCCCATTCTTTTCCAGGATCCCTTTAAAAGTATTAAAACACAAAAATCTGTAACCCTCAATTGGTTGGAGGTTTGGGTTGGCGGTTCAGGGATTTGAACTCCTTGGTTCTTGTAAATGGAAAACCACCCAACCTCCACACCTCCGAACCAGCGGGCTCCAAACCGCGGAACTCCCAACCAACGACAGGGAAGCCATTGACTTATCTCTTGACCGATTGAAAGAGGGGGGATCAACCTTTGAAGTATGTAAGGGGAGGGTCCAGACGCGTACAGGCGGGCCCTTCCAGGCAGGATTTTGCAGCAGTTGGAGGAATTTGCGACATGTCCTCTAAGGGACATGGCCGTTTTTGACCCAAGGCAGACCCCTCCAACGGGCGTTTCAAGGAAGAACCCGAATCGCGACCAGTTCCTAAAGCGCCCTTGGAAAGCAACCGGTCAGTCCAAGAGCCATCGAACCCTAATAAACGTCGATGTTTTGCCAAGAGATCGCCGAACCACCAGGCTCACGAGCGGGTTTGCGGGCCTTCCAATGAAAAACTCAGACCCCTCAAAAGCCCTTGGAAGCAACCCAACTTCAGGGCCCAAAACTCATTGAAAACCTTAGGGCGCAACGCACATGGATCGCCCCGCCTGGCGAAAAAATCGTGCCCTGTGAGTTGCTCTTCGCGAGGCTGGCGATCAAAGCCTTCCAGACGTCCCTTGGCAAAGTGAACAGGGTGGTCAGGAGTGCAAGCGATTCAAAAACCATCCTGGTTCCCCCTAAATGTTGACCCAGAAGTAGTCAACCTCAATGTATTAGTAGGGTGTGTGTGTGTGTGTGCTTGGGTTTAGCGGAGAGTCATCATATGCCTTCGCTTTCAGAATCCAGTTCAAAGATCCAACTGATCTTATGCCAGAGGCCCTCCAACGGATCACCCCGACCAGCTCAAGGGTCCTTGAAACCAACCCATTTGAGGGCCCAAAACCAATCGGGACAGGGTATAAGCAACAGTTTAGACTAGTTTGGCCACTCGACCGGATTGGGCCAAATTGGGCCTGGCCTTTCGAACAGCATGCAACAATCAAACAGACACACGAGCTAACACCGCTTGGATACGTGGAGGGTTGGGCGGACAGTTCCCAGCAGTCTTGCAGATCCTTGAGAAATGACAGCTCCACAACAAGGTGTGGCTGATTTCAGCTGCCTGTTTTCTTCGCATTTGGGAAGACAGGCTTCGATTGTGGGCCGTACATTTGTGGGGAAACTGAATTTGTGGCCATAGAAATTTGATACCAACAAAACCCCGTTGAATTGTTAATTAAGTGATCATGGGCATGAATTTGCAGCATGCCCTGTGGAACTAGCAGGCCAGCGGCATGAACACTTTAAGCCATGGTTTCAGCGCAATGTTTGGCACGCAGCATCCCCAGGCGTTTTGCAATGTTGGCATGTGTCGCACTGCCCGACTTTGGTATCACAGAAAGTGTTGATTTCCAATGCATGGCCTTGTCTCGCAACCTGACCAGCCTCGAAGAGCCTGGAATCGAATGCAACTCCGCAGGTCGTGTCTACCCGGAGCCTACTTTTCATCTGTTGACGTAAACGGGCGTGTGCTTTGTTGGGGGACCCCTTTTTTGGATGGGTTTTAAGGAAACCAAAGGAAAACCGGAGCCATTTTGGCTGTAATTACCCTGTATTTTGAGAGAGACCCAAATGGGCGGAATTCTTCAACAGTCTTGAAGGAAGCGACCGGACGTCAAACCCTTTTGTGCACCTTTGAATGGGTACCCCGACATGTCATACGACTACAGGGTCTCGGGAAATGCGGAACCCTCCATAAGGGGCCCTCCAATGAAGAACCCGAATCGCGACCAAATCGTCAGGGGTCCTTCAAAAACAAGTTCCATAATTTGGAGGGCCGAAAAACCCATCGAATCGGACCAGAGATAAAATGCCTGGACTTGTGGGGTAACGTTCTGCGGGCGCGGGCGGAATACTTGCTGGTTTTGTTGAAGGTGTGGGAAAGGCACTGGTTGCTTCATGCAGCGGTTTGTCCATGGGATCCCAAATCTTTGTTTGAGAATACTCAGGCCCGCTCAGCAATCTGACTTTATGTTGAAAATAGGGGGAATCCGAAATGGCGGCTTTACTTTTGATCTCTCTTTAAACCTTAAGGCGAAAAAATAATTCCTGATCCTCAACAAAACCACCCAGCCACTTTGGTACAACCTTGGAATTCAGTTGCCAGTACAACACTGGTTGGGTTTGTATAACCATTAGTTTACCCTTCATGTGTTGAACATCAACATTGGGTCCCCCTCGCTTGCCAATTTTTGCGGCTTCAAGCTTTGGGGCGATTTTTCCCAATCCGCTTTCGATCTAAGATGGACGGCGTGGCGCGGCGCTCGGCTATGGATGCTGCCGGGTTTGATCAGCCAAGTGGTTCCTGGGTTGGCATTTTCTGGTTTTGGGGGTCTCCCAACTTGTGCTTTGAGGTGGACATATGAGACCTTCCGGTTGAATGCTTTGAGGTCTCCTCCATGACAATTTTATATGTTGTGGTAGACAAAGTGGACCTAAAGATCCGATTCCAGCTGCTTTTTGAGTGCTCACAACTGGGACGGACATAGTTCTCGGTTCAAAGGCCCCGTTTCGGGTTTGTGTTGGGTCCCGGCACCATGACCCTTAGGGAGAGTCACAAGACATGGTTTTGGGCCAAGTGAGACTTACTGCTTTTAGGGTATGATGCTAGCCTTGGTTACAAAAAGATGGCGTTGCCCATAGGAAGCGTAACCCGGGTGTTCGAATCGTTCCCCGAACCAGCTGATTGAAATAGAGGGCGCTGGTTTCAGTTGTGGGTCGATGCTCGTTTACGAGCGATTTGTTCAAGAAGGTGCCCACCGCTTTGCGGGTCGGCCTTCAAGTCTTAGGGACGGTCGGGGGGGGGGCTGGAAGGATTGGTTCCCAATGTGCTTCTCTGGCGTTGTTTTTTGTTCATTCAAGGACCTTCTGTTGGCATCAAGTCAATTCCCTGGACTCCCTGGACACCAGGAAGAGGCAGACAAAGCCCAGGGTCTTTGGCCGCGAGTCACCAAAAGTCGTACAGGAAGCAAATGGGTATGTTTTCTTTTGAACCCACCAAAATGGGTTGGGGGTTCCTGTGATTGTCCCTTTAAAACCAACCAAACAGGAGGACCCTCAAAAAGAGAGACCCAAATGGCTCCCAACTTGGCTTGCCGTTTCTGTCGGCTCTGGTCAGTCACCCTTCGCCATTGTTCTAAGGGTTGATTCCTTGTCCATTAATTCCAACCATCGTTCTTTTCGAGAACCGGATCCGCTTCCCTGGGTTTTCGGAGGTTTTCTAGCAAGATCCGGATCCCTGGAAAGAATGGAAATGGATCCGGTACCCCTTCGCCATTGTGGCTGGCGCCGGCGTCGTTTTTTTTTCCCCGCGAGATCGTCACGACGCGATCACGGATGACGAAGAGGGTCCAGGCGCGCAAGTTGGCTCCGTTGGCTCCCACTGCACCATGCCTGTTGGACTTCCATTTGGTTAAGAATATGTTTCCCCCTGTTGGTTTTAGAGGGAATCTATCACTACTAGAAATGTGCTTTTTTGTTGTCCAGGGGACTTAAGCAAATGGATGTAGACGAGCTGTTGGAAGGATGAACCTTAAACCTTGAAGTGGGGAGAAGGTGTATTTTCCCGCTAAGCGAAAAGTTAAACTGTTGGGGCAGGGGCAGTAGCCATGAGGATCTGTTCAGTTTTTTGAAGTTGCTTCGCTAATTGTTTGACCGTCACATGAGAGCTCGGGGGGAGTCATGTTTTTTGGGAGTCGCTCCAGGTGCTAGCAACTGCTAAATCCATAGCCTGCGAATGAACGCTCGAGAGCTATTATGGTTCCACAAGTTGGACTTCCTCGTGGGCTTGGGTCGTTTATGTGGCAAAGTCGAGATGTTGTTGGGTGGTTTGCTTCAAAGCAGCTGGGGCTCAAACCCCTACCACTTGGGGGTTGTCTTTAATGGTGAAGAAAAGTCCAGAATTACGAGTTACCAGGGTTCACACCACCCTAAGACTTCCCCAGACCCTCTAATGGACTTAAGGCAGGGATTCTTTGATGGGAAACTATGCCCAAAGGCCCTTGTGACACCTCATTCGCACAAGTCGGCCTGTGGCATGGCTCACTTTGCATTGACGGGTCTAAAGTTGGTTGGTTTGGGGAAATTTGAAGGCGCTAAAAGGAGACCCTTCCTCTTTGACTCAATACCCACTTTATAACCCATGATATCAACCCTGACAAAAGAAGGAGGCAATTACATGTAGTTTCCATAGAAAGCCACAATCTTTACAATATGCGGGTAGTGGAAGATTACGGGGCCCGGTTGGTCGCGGCCTGTGGCTTGCAAGTGGCTTGCAAGTTTCATCAGGGGTCCCGATTGTGTTTGGGCCCTGAATCTTTTGACGCAAGGGCCCCAGAACAAATGTGGCCGGTCTCCTTTGGTCGGGGTTTGCCGGGGGGTCATGACCTTACAGTGAAAGTTCCAAAAGCCATAGTAGTCCCAAAGAAGTCGTTTGGGGGGGTGCTGGATGTTGTTAGCATTCCGCATTCCGTTTTGAGAGCCTCGCTTGTTTGCCCCTGCTTTGATCCAGAGTGAAGGTGCCAAAAAGCATCATTCCACTCGTCCAAAACCGACCTTTTCACTTTTTGGCGTTCCAATCTTGGTCCGTTTCCAGCCAAGGTCTCAAAAGGTTAGCCTTTTATGTCGAAGTTCTTGGGGCATAGACCCTCCGGTTTTGGACCTCACTCGTTTTTGGAGTGAGTGCAGGTGCTAAGGCTGAGCCAGAGGACGATGCCGGCTGGCCTCGCATGGACATGGATGGCGTCAAGACGGAGGAGGATGCACCGAGTTCTCCAGTGTGGGGAATGAACCGTTGGGGGATTCCCTAGGAACATCGCAGGGGATGGTTCTTCTTGGGGTCATTCCATTTCTCGTTCCCCCTATGGCTGGTCCCAATTCTGTGCCGAAAATGGTGGCTTCTGGTAAATGGAAAGAAGCACACCAGCGGTCCCCGGATGGTTTAGTTTTGCCCCATGCCCCATCGAACCAGCCAGAAAAGGAGATCCACCATGAGGGAGCCCCCGAAGTTTGAGAGAGAACGCAGAAGTGCCGAGAGTTGACTCGTATGACGTACGTTGCGTTTCAGAATGGGTTGGTTACCTCCTGTTCATTTCAACCAAGAGAATCTATAATTTCTGGACGCACTTTCTGATTTTGTCCCGTGTACTGAAAAAATGCAAATGGAGGAGTTGCTCCTAGAATCATGAGTAAGATTGGTTTTGTAACACCCCAGACCCAGATTATATTAAGGCCCCCATATTACTTCCACTCTTTTCTTTAAATCAACCTGAGTTCATTTAGGGAAACCAAGGGGAATCCATTTGCGCTCCCTCTCGTAGAGCGGAGCCCCCGAAAACGGGTGGTTTTCTTTTCCCTTAAACGAAAAGCCGTCTTTTGAAAGGGTATCAAAAAGAAGGTCGCACACCCTTCTTTACACGAAAACGAGAGCAGAGGACACACCCGTCTTTGAAAAAAGAGGACACGGAAGCCAGCGCCTGGGCGCACTTGTCCGCCCTGAGCAACAAGTTCATGGAGAAGGAGGCCTCCGTCGCGCCGGCGCCGGCGACCTTTGGCAAGGCGGAGCTGAGAAGTTTTGCGAAGTTCCCATCCCAAGGAGCCCAAGACCTGAAATATCTAGGCCATTGCAGGTCTAAGGCCAAAAAAAAATATATTTGTTCGGGTCTTGGGCGCCTAGGGCATGGAATTTTGGGCGGACAGTTGGGGATTGGTATCCAGCAACCGCGATGGGTTCGGAGCGCCGCTCACATGAAAGCATGAAGTTGCATCACGATTTTCACCTGTAGCCCCCTTTGAAATCAAACCACTCAACCAAAGGTGGCGAGTCGGTTTTCCCATGGCGAGTTGGGGTCTGGAAGTGCTTTGGAACCTTTGGGCATTATTCAGCTGGGGATTGGTGTCCACCAAGCAGTTTTGAGAGGGAGACCCATTAAAATAACGCACCCAGAGGAGTGTGAGGTCGCTAGTAACTATATCCATCTTTGGGATTGTTTTGGTCACATCCATTTTCCTTTGCCCATGTCTTCAATCTCTGTGGGGTCCGTCGGGTTTTGTTAAGATTTAAAAGCCAAGTGTTCCAGCCTAGTTGTTGCCCCCTGGCGGGTTGCTTTCAAGGGCCCCTAAGTAAAAGGTTGCGATTCGGGTTCTCCATTGGACGGCCTGTTGGACGGGTCAAAAGGGGTCCTTCTTCGGGGAATCTCAGGGCATCGTCCTTGTTGCCTTCTTTTTTATGAGTGGTTGAATGACCCTCAGGCATCGTTTCTTTTTGTTGCTTCCTTTCTGAACATTTGTCAGGGGTTGACATCAAAAACCTCAAAATACATAACCTTCTACCCATTCTTTCCAGGCATCCTTCTTTCTACAAGACCACCCAAAACCCTGGCAAAACAACGATCGGTTGTTGGAAAGAACGATGGTTGAAAAGAATGGACGAGGAATGTACCCCTGGAACAGGCGGCTAACCCAAGTTGAATTTATGGGAATCAACTTTTAGAAACATGGGGTTGGGTTCCAACAAGCCATAGCGCCCAACTCGGCCTGAAGGGTGGGCCCGGCTGGGCGAAGACGGAGCCGGAGGAGGAGGTGGACCAAGTGGAGTGGTGGGGCGGCAAGGGCTGGAAGGGCAAGCACTTCACCTGGGCCAAGCCTCTTTGAAGCGGTTGGCAAGCATAGGTGTCCTTTTTGGTGGTTTTGCTAAATGGATGGCGCTGGTTTACCTGGTGGTTTAATTATCTACCACCTGTGCTGGCAAGCCGCCCGGTTCAAGAGTTGATCGAACAGATGGGTCCCAAGGGAACTTATCCAGAGGGAAATTTTGGGATCTCCGAAACTATTCTCAGATAAAAATTCAGGGGGTGAAGGGCCACCGGGCGGGAGGAGCCCCAAATGGTGGTCCCAAACAACTGGTCCCAAACGCTCATGGTCCCAGATGCTCAACCAACTGAACAGGTTGTGGATCAGTCCCCTTACCACTATAGAGACCCTGTCAACTTAACAATCAAATTGAACAGTAACATGACCTGATTCCCGCAGCTGCTTTTTCGAGCCCTTCCTAGGGGGTTTCGACATTGAAGAAGTAGAACAGGTCGAAGGAACCAGCAAGCAGGACAATTCTAGATGAAATCAACTTGTGCTTGGTGGGTATTTGCTCAGGGTCATGAGTCCTTTTGGCCCAATGCAGACCCCTCCAAAGGGCCTTCCAATGGAGAACAAGAATCGCGACCAATTCCTCAAGGGCCTCAACAACTCAAAACTGGTCCCCATTCTTAAGGGCGCAAAAGAATCGCAGCCAACAGAAACCACTTGCCCAGTGGCACCGGTGGTCCCTGTTTTGCATGTTGTTTGAATCCAAGTCCGTCGATCTGAGGCAGGAGTCCACTGCCGTGTGACCGGACCGGAGCGGACTTCGATGTGAACATCTCACCGCTTGGTTGCGGGGGCAAAAGCCACGGGGTTTAGGGGCTTTGTTTTGCAACAGTTGGAACACAAGGAAAGCGGTTGGACATAAACCCCACCTAAATCCCGTATTCAAGCCCAGCTTGAACAACACTGATTGGACCAATCGCAGCGTTTCCTCTAGGTGGTCTGCCGCAACCAGTTGCCTTGAAAAAGGGTATGGTTCTAGCAGTCTTACACTATGGTTCACTTGGAGCGACATGGGACTCAACAATTTTCTGCGCAATTCTGACCGTGGCGACTTTGAATCGTAACCAACCCTTAGCATGGCTCGAGAGGATCGCCGTTTTGGAAAGCCGATATGGCTTGTGCTCCTGTAGGGTGCTCTGACAGGAGCGAATTCCGCGGAAAAAAACACATGCGGCATGTTTGGAAGGTATTGTCAAACTTGGCTCCTTGGGCGAAAGCCAAAAGGACATCACCCGCCCACCCATGTTGTGAAATTCTCCATTGTGCGACACACCCCTTTTGGGAAGGGCTGCTTTTCACTAGAAGCTGACTGTGAGTTGCTACGTTTTCCGAATACCACCGTATCCATAATTCAAAACGTTTCTTTTGTATTTGTGGGACACCCCCAGTTTGAGTTGTTTGTTTTGAGAAGCCGCAGCGTTGTCGCAATGAGTTTTCCTTTTGCATGTTGCCAACTTTTGCGATGCCAGGGCACCTCCGCTTAAGCCAATTCATTGTCAAGACCAATGTCTGTTGAAAGGTTCACGATAGCAGGTGCACCCTCCCTTCTGTTCAATAGCCAAGGGAAAGCGGGCAGCTGCAAAAAACAATGGGCACAAAAGTTGAAGCACGCCCTCTGAGGAAAAGACAAGAGTCCCTGCAATGTAAAATATATTCTTCTCAACACCCGCCCATGGGCAAAATGCTGGTTGGCTTCAAAAGGTCTTTGACACAGATGACACAAAGGAACAAAATACACAATGTCGAAGGATCATGACCCCTTCAATGCAAACCCCCGAACCCTCCAACGGAGCACCCCGACCCGTCAGGAATCGCATCGCGGACTTTGGCCAAGCCTCTCAGGTCAGAGTCGCCATTCGATACTGTAGGGTTCAAGCCCCTTTAAAAGAATGGCAAGGACCCAATTTGGAGGCTGACAGTCCTTGAGTAAAGTATGGTGGGTTATATGAACTAATATGAACCCCCCTTGTTTTCATGGTGGTTTGAACCAACAATGGTGGCTATTTATATGAAATCATTCGGTAAAGTATGGGTGGTGATATGAACCCCATGGTTTTCATGGTGGCAACTGAACCCCCGGGAAATCCCTGCGCGCGTTTTTTGGCCGCTCGATGTCCAGGCCGTTCCCATTGTGGCGGGGCTCAGGGTACAAGACTGCTCCTACAAGGCCTGGCGCGTGGTTGGGGCGGTTTTCGGATAAACCGCCATATCTTTGTTGCATTTTGCCAAGGGATGTTTGGACTTTTACTTTTTGCCACCTAGCCCAGAGGGTCCAAGTACCTTCTGAGGGGGTCAAAAGGGGTCTAAGTACGTCGTTAGAAGGTACTTGGACCCTCTGGTTAATGGGTTTTCCATAAAACCACTAAAAGTTAATCTTTTAGCAGGGGAGCAGAAAGCAACTAAGATATGGGCGTGTCCTTTTTTCTTCGTCGGCCCCCCCCAAAATGGAGCAACAGTGGTCCTGTTGGTTCCCAGTAAAACCACAAAGAAGGGGTACCCTCAAAAAAGACAAGCCCATATAAAGCGGGTGGATTTGGGCAAGTCACTGAGGACTCTCTCTTGAGGACTTGAATGGGCCCAGTTTGGTCAACAACTACAGTACCCGCATTGGATTGCGTTGAACACAATGGGTCAGGAAAAGGATGGCGATTGCACGATGAGTAAGTGGGAGGATTACTGTTTTGCGTTGGGCTTTTGGCTCCTCAACTCACCACCGTCTTTTCCGCCGTTGTAGAGCCCACGGGCTGGTTCCATCAGGTACATGCCCAAAGGGTCATGATCCAACGCAGACCCCACAAGGGACCCTCCCAATGGAGAACCCGAAGCGATCAACCAATTCCTCAGGGAGCAGTCCCAGTTTTTTTGAGGGCCCAAAATTCATGGAGACCCTTAGGATGGGGGAGATGTCATGTGAGCACAGCTTATCATTGCGACCATCTTCCGACAGGTTCGCGGCGTACCGCAAGAAAACTTACCGTACAAGCAGCACATCTCGAGTTTGGTTCCCGTTCCCGGCGTCCGCTTTTCGTCCGAAACCTGCCAACGTTTTGTTGGCAACTAACCACGGCACAAGAAGTCCTGGGGAAGCAGCCTGGGTCTATCTTAACTTATCGCCAAAATGCTTGATAATCATGGGAAACAAGAGAGTGCACCGGTTTGGGGAGTTTTGTGAGTCGCCTCATTTCCCTCGGACCATGGAGCGAACCTGGGTTTGGCCTAGGCAAGTAGGGAGTTCATCAAACTAATCCCTCAGTTCCTGGACTTTCATCGGCCAACACCTTCCAACGGAGGTCCCTGCTCCCCTTCAATGCTCAGCCAAGAATTGGCTCGTCAAATTGACGAAAGTCCCTTGGTGTCTTTTGGGCATCCAACAGTCATGACCCTATTGGGGCCCACTGCAGACCCCACCAATCAGGGAGAACCTCAAGCCATCGACTAATTCCGCCACCCGGTTTTGAAGGCCCAAACAAAATCGAGATCCTTAGGGTGGTTTGTTGTGGTGTTGCAAGAAGAACGGCGCCAAGAAGGGTACCGAGCCTGAAAAAAGAGGCACGCTCATGTGAATGATGTTCACCTCGAAAGGCCGGCGATTGGAACACGACAGGGCTGCAAAGACAACGACTATGCGAAAGGGCGGCAAAAATAAACAAGCTTTTCTAGTCTGCTTCGCCCCCCGAAAGGACAACTGGGGGCCGCAAAAAGGACGGCCAAAGGGATATCGGCCACTTTATGTTCGAAGAAACTGGGGAAACTGGCGGGAGGGCAGAGGGAAACACCTTGAAATCGACCAACTTGTCCATGCAGCCCATCTTTGACAAGGAGCTTCCAAGGACAACTATGGGGACACAAACCAAAAGGGCACTGAGTACTGGGATATTCATTAAACACGAGCAGGAATCGGAGGTCTTTTGTATGGCTCGCAAAGGGGTTCTCTGACGCGATGTTTGTTGAAACCAAGAGGGTGCTTTCCCATACGCGCCAAGAAGCGGCTCGAAGAGTTGGGCCTTCTCCCTCCCACTCTGGATTTTGGTTTTGGACTCAGAGATTCATGATCCTGTGGACCCAGGGCCCTTGTGACAGCCAACAATCTTTGGGTATTTGTCAAACAAACAAACTTGGCGCGTGCCCTGCATATTTCTCTGTAGGTCGGTTTGAGTGTTTAGAAGGGGAAGCTCGCCGACCATAGTTAAATGTCCGAAAACGAGGATCCTTCGGGCCTTGGGACCCGTTCCAGCGAACCGCCAGACCATGCTCATCGCCGGCAACCCGCAGCTGACAGACGCCTTCTACGAGCCGCTGCTCGGGGTTGATTCATGGTCCAATGGCTGTCAAGGCCAAAGAGGAGGCACCCCCCAACAAGGAAATGGAGAACAGGTTTTGGGAACTGGAGCGGCCATCCATTTGTTGTCCTTGGCTGGGTTCTACCTACTAAATTGTGCAGGGTGGACTACATATGGGACAGAGGCAGGCTTTGTATTGTTTCGGTGCACCCCAAATATAAACCAAGGTCTGGGGTAAGGGTGGTCTCACTGCCTCAGTTGGACTGCAAATACTTTTTGGGTTTGGGCCATTTGGGTGAAGTCACCCGACCTGTTTAAACTTGCCAACTCAGCATATGTCATTTGCACTGTTTTTGTGAGAAACGCATCGGAAGTGAACTAGTCTGACAGGGCACATCTTACTTTTTCTGAGGAGCCATGCCGATCGTTGCTGCCTTCAGGAGGTTACATTCTATTCAAATATTGTTCTGTTCTGTGAGTTGCCCCTTTGTCCCAAGGTGGTTTCCAAGTAGGTTCAAACTTCCTCCTACATGGGGAGCCCGGTGTTCAGAAAGTTTTGAAGGGATGACTTGCAATTGTTCATTGGCCCTTTGGTGTCCCAGATTGAGTTCGCCGTGAACAAGACGGGTGCCCAACATTCCCGTTTTTGTCGGTTTACAACACAAACCTTGTCCAATTAACAAATTGGAAGTGTGCTCATGGGCTGAATATCGCGCAAGGAGCCATGGAAACCTCAAAGGCGACCCAGTTCTTTAGATCCCTTCAGGGCCTACACACATGTCAGAATGGTCAACATGGATCCCTGTCACGCCAAAGGGGTCCTTTTTCTACCCGGGTTGGGGGACCAGTTCAAGACCGTTGACGAGCAGTAGACTCAGAGAATGTCTGTTTGAGTACCATCCACAGCAGCCGAGAATATTGAGCCTCCAACCCCAAATGTTGGACAGCGCTTGGCGTTTGAACATGGGGAAAAGACCGTTATTAGCTTGGCCAATTTGGAAAAGGGTTCCATGCACCTTTTAGCAGGAGTCACAGTGCCTGTTATATCATTTTGTCATCATATTGGCACCAAAGATCAACGGATGTGGGTTGCGGACTTGTAGTTGGTATTTGAGGGGAAGTCAAAAGGAGACTAGCCATGTTCAAGGAAGGACCTATTTGGTATTTTGTTTGGTTCCCTTTAAACACCAACCACAAAGCAGGGACGAACCGTATTCTTCCATGGCATTCTCACGTATGGTTGTTGGAGGTATGGATGCTATGCCGCCAGTGTACTGACTTGCCCAAAGCCGACCTTTTGGTTTCCCCTTTTTGGTAATTTCTGTTTGTCATGGCCCCAAAAGCTGATCGCCTGTTCTTTCTGGGTCCCTGAGTTTCAGCTCACAAGGCATATACTCCACCCATTTTTCCGGACCAGGCATTGAACCGTTTGAATCCCAACGGCTTCAGAAGCTCACAAGACATATATTTTTGACAGACGTTTGCGCATCACCTGCCTCAAACCCACGGAGCCGCCTGGACTAAGGCTCTTGAAGCTCGCCTGCGAGCGGTCCATGAGCTCTTCGATCTGAGCTGGCGGTTCGGTCGTTTTCGTGACCGCGCGTCTTTTTGTTGACCGTTTTGGGGGCTGGTTTCAAGAGAGGCCAAGAGGACACCGACGAGTCGGGGGACCGGAACCTATATTTTGAGGAGAAGCCCAAATATTCGCGCTTCAGCGTGTGGTTGCGCTGGGTGCTGCCAAGAGTACCGGCTCCCCATACTAAAGAGGCCAACAGATGACGGCCTTTGCTGAACACGACCCACGCCAACTCATCCTGTTGCTGGCGGAGGTGTGTAGCCTTGTTGCCGTTGTATAGCCCGGCGGCGTAGAAGCCTCTTAGAGATTCGAGTCAAGGAGTTGGGCTACAGGGTCAAGGTCTACGACAGGTATGTGCTCACCTTGGACGGAGGACCACAAGGGGAAACCAGGTCACACAAAAAGCATCATGATTGGAGGTTGACGACATCCTGGAGGCAGGTGGCAAAGTTCATCGTGACAACGTTGCGGCCCCTTCAGTACATTCGACACGGATGTTTTTGTCGGGGATCTGTGGAATGAAGTTTGGCAAGCCTGGGGACGCTCCTTGACTCCCTCCAGTGGTGTATGTTGTTCCTTTGTCGCAGGGGGTTCCCTTAAACTCAACTACCCAAAGCATCATTGGACCTTCCATTGAAAGGGTCAGGAGCTCCATTGGAAGGTTTTAGACCTCAAAAAGGATTCGCCTTTTTGAGGACCCGTTTGATGCGGGTGGCCTATTCTTTGGGACCTCACACAGGTCAGCCAGTTTTGAAGTCCCTTTCTACCTTGAGAAGCAGGCAAACGAGTGGAAACCAGTGGAAGCAGTTTTTTTGAAGCCTGCGGAAACCAATGGCCCGCAAGGACCCTGTGGGGATTTCAGCAGCCACGTTTCGGCTGCGTCAACTGGAGCGTTTTCAAGACCCCTTTGTGGGCGTGGAGATGAAGTCAACCTGCAAACTCGCATGGCATGCGGCCTGTTGTTCCACTGTGGCTTCCCAAACATTTTCTGCGAAAGAACCTCGCATCCGACTGGTCAGGATAGAGGAATCTCCACATGGAACCGAGGCCTCACGATCCTGGACCTGTCCGGCTCCGCGCACATGGGGGAGAAGTCCATCTGCTACCTGGCGGACGTGCTGACCCCAGGTCAGCAAAAGCTCGAGCCAAAGCATTTTCTTGATTGAAGGGCCTGGGAGCCCTTAGCAATGTTCACGTTGACAACGGATTGATAAACCCTAGTTTACTACTGGATAACCTGGGGCACCCTTTTTTCTCTCAGGGTCATGACCCTCCAATGCAGACCCCTGGGCCGTGCAATGGAGATCCCCGACAAGGGCCCTGGCCCAAAAAACATCGAGACCCTTGGGAAAAACCAGGTTTTTCAACATAGTCGGGGTCCTCAAAGTGGGGATCGACTGTTGAGAGCCCGAAGGAATTGGCAGTGAATTCTCTCGATGGGAGGCGAGGGAAAAGGAAGAAGGGGGTGGCTCAATGAAACAGCGCATGAGGCCAGGTTGCCCTAAATAGGGAAATCCGGTGGCCGCCCAAACCTTCGTGCCCGTTTTCCCCGTTTGGAGAGTGTTACTTTCCCAGAGGTTTGACCTTTTGAGCTTTTGTTTCCCCCCTTTTGGTCCATTTTTGTCATGACCCCCAAAGGTGCGAGCCGTTTAATTTCGAGCCTCTAAGGGGCCACTGAGCAAACATGGTGCCCTGTTCTTCCATGGAAATCCACTATGTTAACGTCATTAATAACCCTCCCCCTCCATCCCCTCAGAAGGTCAACCAGATTAAACGGGGAGAAGGTAGCAGGTGGCAGATTGAGGACGCACCCGAAAACATAGAACACATTTTAGTATGAGTTTGGGCTGGAATTGAAATCAATGCGTAAAAACGGTTCTGCCGAACGTCCTGTGGTCGCGAGGCTCGGTGGGTGTTTCTCTTGTCCGTTTCCTAAGGCCTTGCCAAGAGCCTTGATGAGACTACGCGTGCTCAAGCCCCTTGGCAGGTGGTCTCATTGGGAATGAACCACTGGATCCCAAAACAAATATGCAACTTAAGATTTTGAGGGATGGTTCAGTTCGGGCTTCGTCATTCCCTGGCCCTACTGAGAGCCCAGAGAGGAATGACGAAGTGGGGCTTCCCTTTGCTTGCCATTCCCGCAGCAAAGATCCTCCATTTGCACGGGGATTGAGAAACACGGCCGGGTGTTTGTGGGTTCACGCCAGACCTCCAGTGCCGTTGTTCTTGTTGTTTCCGCTGTTGGGAGGGGGGCACCTTCCAAATCCGCAAAAAGGGGTTCAGCAAGAATCGTTTGTATCACAATCTGGGACAACTCTTGGAAAGTGACTGAAATTGGTCCCGAACAAGTCTAGCCTAAGGGCCATGACCTCTTCAACTATTCAATGCAGAGCCCGCTTGTGGGCCCTCCAATTGAGAACCCTTGGCAACCAATTGCTCAGGGCCCCTTGAAAACAACCAGCCTGGGGCCCATGGTGAAAGGTACGGTACCCATTCCAAGCCGCAGTTAAGTTGGCACATGTCCCAAATGTAGGGTGTCCATAGTCCCGCCGGTTTGAGTCAGATGACAAATTCCTCATGTGCAAATAGGAGATGCCGCCTGAAAGGGATCCCACAAAAACATCGTTTTTGCTCAGTCGCCTCTCTCGTTTTTGGCAGAACTCACAGCCTTCAGTGCTGGAGGGCTTCGGCTTTCCCTGCTTCCCACGTTTCTCTAAGGGTCCTCTTTGTTTTTCGGCCTTCCTTGGGACCCAACTTAGATAAAACTCCGAAAAGCTAAACATGGGGGTTGTACAAATCCAACCACCCTTTCAGGGTCCCCATGATCGTTTTACTAAAACAATCGCACGCAATGAATCCATTTTCCTGTATTTTGGTTTAACCAAGGGAACCACCCGTATTACCTATACAGGCAACTGGGATGCACTGGGCCAAAGTACTCACATCGATGGGAATTTTACTGGTATGTACTAGGCTCCCCTGGCCCGACGGCGGTTGTCACCCTCCCAGTCTCGAGGTTGGACGGCACCCACTGCGAGCAGTCCTCATGGTACGTGCTGCTGGAGGGCATGCGATGCCTCACCTACCTCCAGGAGTTTCCTTGTTTCCTCAAAAAGCAAAAACGGAGCGCTGAACAGTTGGTGGAAGCAGGATCTGACAAAATGGAGAGGTGGGGGTGTCCCCAAAGGCGTCGCGCTCCCCCTATGTGTTTTCTTCTTGTTCCCCTGACAGATCCACAATCTTCACACACTCCCATATTATAGGCCCTTAAAGGACGGTCTTGTCACTCACCGATTTCACGGGATGTACGTGTTTTTGCCTGTTTTGTTGCGAGCTCAGCGATTCGGGAGGAGCTCACGATGACGGATGTCCTTTACTAGAGGGTCCTCCATTCCAAGTGCTGGATTTTTTGGAATTGCTTGTGGATTTTGAAGCAGGAAGAATAGAAAGCCCTTGTTTGTCTCATGAGGAATGTGGGGAGCTCGCTAAAGTTGAACCTGGGACCAACCTCGAAGGGGTGGATTTCCCAACCACTCATCCTTCTTTTCAGAAGCAAATCTCCCCCCCTGCGTTCAAATAGGTCCATTTACTGAGCAGAAGGATCCCTTGCAAGTACGGGGAAACCTAAATATTCCAATGCCCACGTGTATATGTTGCTTCTCCTCCTCCGGAGGTCTTTTACACGTCGTCTTTTGGAAACTGACAGCGAACGCCAAAAACCGCTGTTGGAATAGGGGGTTCTACTGGTTTCATATAGGGATAATAATTTGCACGTGTCCATGTAAACGGTTTGCTTAAGATGCACTGGGCCCTTGGAAAGTAGACCTCTGGAAGGTTTACCTTAAAGTTGATGAAGTGTGGGCCCGTTTGATGTGTAGCCCAGTGATTCCATTCCTGTGTAGTAGTAACCACGGGAACCACCCTTCAAAAACCAAGAGGACAATGGCTGGTTACCTACTAGGGTGGCAGCTGCGATCCAGGTGGTCGCTGGGATCCACTGAAGGATTAGACCATTTTGGTTTGGGCCGCTTGGTCTTTGGAGAGCCTCGTGCAGTCCTCTAGTCAACCGGTTCCTCGCGGACCGATCCCATTGGCTGTTTCGCTTAGCAAGTTGTTTCCTTGGTTTCCCTTCGAAACCAACCCAAAAAGGGTACCCTCAAAAAAGACGCTCAGAGAAACAAAAATAAGTTCCATAGTAAATCCTTCTCGGGTCAGGAGCTGATCATACCCTAAAGGTGGCATGCCAGCATGTTTGAAATGGAGATGTGGGGGCTGTCGTTTTTCAGGATACCCATGAGATGATTTGACCCCATGTAGGGAATCCTACAAGGGTTGACGCCTGGTCTTGACATTAGTTTGGGTAACGTACGTGCTCAAAAGCCGCTTCCACAGGGAGCCCACCCTCTTTTTGTAGGTTGCTCAGGGAAACCCCAGTGTTTCGGGTCTCAGACTAGTTTGGGGTTGGAACTGGGAACACCTGGGTTGCCCCTGGTCGAATGCCGGTCACTTGACAAATCAGAACCCAATGATTCCATGTCCCTAACCCAGGGACCACCCGACACCAAAATTCCGATGAGACCAGACCTTTGGGTCGGGCAGGAGCTGAGCCTCGCTGACATGGCCATCGGCACTCAGCCTCAGAGTGCTGACGCCGTGGGCGTGCGGTCCATTGAAGCATAGCCCAGTCCATGTCCTGGTTTTGCGGGTAGCCCAGGGTTTGCCACCTTTTTTATTACAAACCACCCTAAGCATCATTGGGCCCTCCATTGCAGAGGTCCGGACCTCCATTGGAAGGTTTTGGACCTCAAAACGGATGCCGTTTTGAAGGCGCAAGATGTCCAGGGCAAGAAGAGAACTGTTGGTGACCTCCTATAGTGCCAACTGGGATCCATCGGGTACGTTGATGCTGTTTGATTGGTTTTCAAAGTCTATTTGTAGGTAAGGCTCTCAGGGTGCCAATTCGATTGTTTATGGGCCCTCAGCATGGTGGTTGCTTTTGAGGGCCCGAAGGAGGAATTGGGCAAGATTCGGGTTCTCAATTGGAGGGCCCGGGATCTGAACTGGTTGGGTCATGACCCTTAGGGTGGTAGGTCAAGCGATAAAATACCCCTGACTAAGAAACGCGAATGTATTGTCGTGGCTACCATGGGAAGCCGGGTTCTTCAAAATATTCCCACTGCAAGAAGGCGTGTATCTGGTCTTTGGAGCACGGGGTATGTTTGTTTTCACTCCCAAACCCAACCCACCAGCACCTTGCAACTGGGTGAATCCTTATTAAACCACTTAAGTCACTCACCCGAATCCTATCTCAAATGGGCGAAATGATCAACCTTCCAATGTGTGATCCCCTTCTCCATTGCGCAACCAAGGGAGCCACCCCGAAAAGGGCTCAATTGCTTGTTGCCTGCTGTAACTGGGAACCGCTGGCTTTGGCTTCTATTGAAAAAAAGGCAACCCCGAAAAGAGAACTCAGTTGTATAAAACCAAATCCAATGGAGACCTCTACGCGCCCAGGTCGTCGATCCCAGGACATCCCTTGCCTCGTCGGGGAGCTGCCACTGTCCCTGCCGGAGAGCCCAAACTGA